TATCTAGTGCTAAACGAGGAAGGCAGTCCGGATACTACATGGTGGAACGGCAACGGTACCACAGCCGGTTACATTGACTTCACAAAAACCGCCGCTGCCGAGTGGTGGTACAACAAAGTACTCAGTCTGCGTGAGGAATACGGCATCGACAGCTTTAAGTTCGACGCTGGCGAGAGCAGCTTCGCCCCACAGGTACTTTTACATAACAAGCTCTAGCAGAACGTTTCCAACACAAGCTACTCTTTTATTGGTTTCCACTTATTAAAGATTTAATATTTCGTATAGATCTCTGTCCAGAACGGGAGTATCGATCTCCAGCCCCATCTCATCGTGGACTCGTACGTAAGGACCTGTGCGAGGTTCGGTGACATGATCGAGGTGCGCGCTGGCTTCAGGTATATGAGCTTCCCCCTTGACTACATTCTAAACGTTCAGTTAAAATCTTAAGAGAAGACGAATGAAGGAAACTTAGAACAAGGTCAAGGAATCTAGATGAGCTTTAAAGCTAATGAGTTAAATGAGGTCGAGGTTTCTTTTATAACAAAAAGCCAACTGTTGCAGAACACAAGAACTTCCAGTGTTTGTGCGCATGGTGGACCGGGACTCCATCTGGGGCATGAATAACGGTCTACCGACAATTTTGACGACGACAATACAGATGAACCTAAACGGTTACACCCTCGTGCTGCCAGACATGATCGGTGGCAACGGATACAACCTGGACCACGAGCAGGCGGACCTGCCCACCAAGGAGCTATTCATCAGATGGGTGCAGGCTAACACTTTCCTACCCGTAATGCAGTACTCGTTCGCGCCGTGGAACTTCGACGATGAGGTATATATTTAGAGCTTGCTAATATATGTGATCCGTTGTAATATCGCCAGTATTAATGACTATAATTAGAAATTTCTTGTTAATTTATTTTAATGTTAATCAATTTAAAACAAAAACAAGCTGTTCTTGGACAAGGAATTGATCACAGATGTCTTATGACTACCTTCCGGCTCCATAATCAGATCACCTCTATTCTATATTAATTTGAATGGTCATCAAAGATATATTGCATGCCGAATTCAAGCGTAAACAAAAACCAGAAAGTCTGTCCAAGTAAATATAATGACGTCCAACGTATTTTAAATCACAAAAACAAATTATAATAAACAAAAGTTTTTGTTATCTAATGAAATGCTAAGTAAATATAATTAAAGAGTTTCTTTACATTCAAGAAAACAAATAAGAAATCAAAATATCTTCAGATCAATGACGTGACGGAATAATGAGGATATAAGATGTGACGCCACTAAGTATGTAATTACTACTTCATGTCAGAGGACATCAGTAGATTACTTTTTACGACTTCATCAATAATACGTAAATTAAACACCTTAGGTTATCATTAAGATCACTTACCCGTATAACAATGGGAGGCTTTTCCGATGTTTGTAATTAATGAATAGTTACGCAATATTGAATAGACAACCTACTAGAAAAAAAAAAGAAAAAGATAATCCAAGGATTTTCTCTCGTAAAAATATCATATCATTAAATTAAAAATTAAAACAAAGTAATAAATCATTCATGAAATACAATTTCATTAACACATTAAATAAATCTTTCATAGATTGCATTATAATAACATTATTGGTATTTCTTATTCGATCTTTAAAAGCGGCACCCCTATTCCTTATAACTCCAAAGAAATCATCAACCCTATCCTAAAAGAACATGCCGGACGCGCTACACCGCCCTGAGGGCCAATTCTACTTAATAAATTTTGTTTAAATCGAATCGAAAACGGATCGAAACGAACCGTCAAGGCAAATTTTCGGGTAAAAGTTATTTATCCTATTTTGTCCAAATATCATAAGCTCTCGTATTCACATTATATGTCAACTCGTGAATCTTAGCATATTTTACACATACATATATTAAGCAATTTTTCTCAATCTATTGATGGAGGAATTCAGAAGAACTATGTCATCCGCGTAACTCAAATAATGAATATATAGAACCTCCTTCTTTCTCGAATCGATTTATATTTAATAAAGTGCCTAAGGAATAAAGATAACTAAATATGCTAACTTTGGTATGTGAAATCATAATGATTTCTATGTGTAATTAATTGCTTGTTTGCCTTTTAGACGGTAGAAATCAGTAGGCAGTACACGGAGCTGCACGCCGAGTACGCGGAGACGATATACGAGGCGATGCAAGCCTCCGTGGAGGATGGGGTGCCGGTGAACGGACCTCTATGGTGGCTGGACCCCAACGATGAGGAGGCGCTCGTAATATGGGATGGTAGATTTCATACAAATGGACATTCTCGTTTACATTGTACAATACTAGCAAAAAGTTTTGATTGTTGTTTGCTTAATAATTAATATGCATAATCAATTATTAAGACAATGTTGAAAAAAAATTATATGATGCATTAGTGCTATATTTTTTTATCCAGCTCGAAGGACCAAACTAAAATTACTATTTTTACCATTCATAACTTCCATTGTCAAATTATGTTTAGAATTACACTGTTTTCTTGAGCTGATACTTATCAGACGATTATTTTTTCAATAAATTTATAATAATGTAACAATTAAAACTTCTGCTATTTATAATCATATAAACAACTAAATCTTATTTCAGAATATCTAGTCGGTAAAAACATCATAGTCGCGCCAGTGTTGCAAGAAGGTGCCACCTCTCGTGACATCTACCTTCCCGCGGGAGTGTGGTTAGAGGGCGGTGACCCCGAGCGCCCCCACTCCGGCCCCATCTGGCTGCACTCCCACCCCGCACCGCTTGACGTCCTGCCATTCTTTGTCAAGCATTCGGGCGAATCGGACGCCGCTACATTACCCGCTGTGTCAGCTATAATTACACTTTTAGGATTAATTCTTGTTGCATTATTTTAAGTTTCTAATTTAGATGTTTGATGTCCTTCATTGTAATGTTATTTAAATAAGATTATTAATAAACCGTTTATCCAAATTTTATTTTGTATTTTCCTCTATATTGAAAGTATCATTCAGAGTACATCGGTATGATTGTGCTATTTTGTACAATTAGTAAGCAGATAGTTTAATCTACAGAAAGAAAGCGATTTGACAGAACAACCTGAAGGACGTATCTATATTTTCAGGCCCGATCACTCGCGGTTGCGGAGTATTCAGCGACAACCGAGCGACTCCTCTCACTCTGTCTTTACCACAGTTGCCTTTTCTAATTTCTCTTTATATATTAGTTTCGATATTCTAACCAACTATTCAATCCAACAGAGCATGTTCTTATTAACTTTTACACGACACTATTTTTCAATTAAACTCTTTTTTAAGTCTGCAGTCATCCCTCTCGGCTGCCAGTTTATTTTACTTGCACTGTGGGAGAGTTACATTGAGATAAGCTCTGCGATTCTGTAGAAATCCAAAACCGAATTCTAATTCACTCATGTGTCCAGAATCACGTCATTTAGTATGGAAATTCTATTGAATCAATTTTTTGTATAAAATATAAAATTGATTGAATATAGGTACGTGTCTCAAATATTCTATTTCTAAGTCACTTCACTCATGCCACGAAACATTATTACCGATTCAAGGTTAAGCGGATACAATTTTTGTTACAATACAACTTATTCGGACCCTGAGTGAATTCGAATTCCGCTTTGGATTTTTACAGAATTGCAGGGCATTATTGCTATCTTTTCCCCAATTTCTGGTACTGAATCTTTTCGTCAACATCGGCAGTGTACCTTCCACCCGTGGTAAAGGCACACCCAAGAGATAAAAACTAATTCCTTGCTCCAACACTCAAAAAAAAAATGTTTATTTTCATTTCTTAAAAGGCACAAAGTAAAGCGCTGCTTTATTAAGGCATTATGGTATCTGTTTATTCACCATGCGCAAGAGTCGAGCGAGTATTTTGCCACCTATTGTTTACGCCACCTAGTGACATCCGTTCTAAGAGAGAATGCACATGTGATTGCATAATTATAAATCTGCTTTAAGATAATTCAACTGTTACAATATGTCTGTACATAACAATATTAGTAAAAGATAATATGAAATGAGCAATCCGCTCAAAATTAGCATGGGTATAATAGGGATGATGACTGGGTCAAAAAAATGCGATTCTATTTAGTCCGTCAGTCAGATAATAAAAAAATATTAGATACGTATTTTTTTTACTTCAATTTAACAAGAAATAGCTTAGATAACAGGCATTAAAGTTGAGGAGTGGGGGCTTGCTACGTCACAGTTGAGTAGAAAACGTACTCTAACGTGACGTCATGCGAAATTTCAACTCAATGTAACGCCGTAATATGATTACAAAAAGAATAAGAAAAAACGTGTTTAATATTTTTTAACACTCTACCTGACGGACAAACAAACAAAAATTAGTCATCATCCCTATTTTTGTCAGCAGTTTCAGAATATTTAATTATTTCTGACTAACTAAAGATACATATTGCACCAGCGTCTCTTTCTCTTCATAGCAGTGATTTGGCTTACGTATTATCACGAAATGTAATTAGCTAATTAATAATTAAATTGACCCAAAAGGACCGAAAGAGGGGTTGATTAAGGTAAGTGATACTAGCAAAGTTACCCAGACAATAGGTACCATAAAAAGTATTGCAACTCTTTTTAGAGGTATCGTATATTATGAGATTTGAACGAGACAAAAACTTTAATAAAAAATTATAATAATGCAGCTCTTTAGTGGAAATAATGTCAAGCATTGATTTCGGTGGTCCTACACTAACTTTACCCAGCATAACTAATGTAAACGTAAAATACATTATCTACTAACTAAAGTTGCAGTTCAATCTCAACGTTACGTTTTATATTGATCCCCAAAAGACGCTACAGTCAGGCCCACTTCAATGAAGTGAGTATGGTCCCTTAGTTAATAAGAACTATTAAGAAGTGCAATAATAATGCGTTGACACTAGTACATTAGTTTCTGTCTCGATTCTGACAGTCAACATCTGGCCAGCGAGATGGGAGTACATCTGTTCTGTAAGTAACCAAGACCACCAACTTACTATGCACTAATTATTTAAAAAAAAATGTTACGGAATATGTAACAAGAAAATTCACTACCGAGTACTTCTGATTACTTGAAAATTAATATAAACCTAGCAACTACCTTAACCCAAAGGGATTAGCCTAAAAATATTGAAATTAAGGAGTTATAGCTTAAAAATCTTCATAAGATCTTCATCTGCATTGAGCAATTTCCTACAAAAAGGTTAAAATTTCTGAAATAAAAAAAACGCACCTCCCTAGTCTACCTTATCTGTACTCTTAACTGAACAGGGATTCAGTTAAAACATAGTTATCTTATGCTACACGAGCCGCCTGGTTTACGAAAGATTCATAGTTCGATTACTGTTAATGATATGTTCTTTCCAATGCAAATATTTACTTATATTAAGTACCTGTCTGCTAAATATCAATGTGATGATATACTTTCTATGCTTTTATATTCAATGAGGAATTATTAAAAAAAAAACACTAGTTCCCAATATCAAGCTAGATTTCGATACTGTACTTTCTTAATTTCTCCATTACAACCCAGTTTTCCGGTTTACTTTCATGTATAAAAATAAAAATAGTAAACTAGTTTTCAAAACTCAATGGACAACTTATATTCTATTTGTAATTTTTCGTATTTTTATCGATATCCAAGTTTTGAACTTTGTAAATTCCAGTTTTCTAATATGTTATTTAAAAGGAACGGAAATTACTATCTTTGGTCCATTCGTTTCCTGAAAAAATCTACTTTTGCTAGAGTCGCCATCTAGTGAAGGTGCTTTTTCAGTACTTTCTTTTTTTAAAATACTTCCTCATTGTACAATAACCTACAAAAGGCGGCCGTATAACTAGCAAAAGATTTCTTTTACGTAACCTTGCATTGGATAGAAAAACTTAACAATAAATTGCAGATTATGCATGAAATAACAATTTAATACGATAAAAAAATACGAATATTGGACGATCGAATGGTCAAGACACAAGCGACAACCGGAGCGCGACAGGAGTGAGAAGATAGAATACATACGCAGACTAGTGTTCGGATAGGAAATGGGAATTTAATTGTAATTTGAACGAGGATTATACCTATATATATGAATTGGGATATAATATTGATGCATTAAAAACGTGTGACTACACCGTTTAGTTACACATTATTATTAAAAAAAAAATACAGATTTAAAATCCGTTCAGAACCATTTTTGAAAATACTATTATGTTATGTTAAAGAAACCTATTTTTTTAAGTACGACCTTAGTGCCTATTCTGTTGCACTACTTTTGCTAGAGTTACACTAATGTTGTAGTTTAAAAAATAGGTTTTATTTAAAATAGGCATTAGTGCCGATTCTCTCTAAACTAAAACATTTCAAACTTTAATTTGTGTTTTGTTTATACGTTATTTCGTAGTAACATGTGAATAAAGCAGAGGTTTAAAAAACTCATATGTATATCTCGTAGTCCACTTGACAATCTCCGGTAGATTGGCATCTTTGGTTTTGGATGAAAAGAGCATAACTCAAATTATTCTTAAAATAGCATAGTACTAAGCAGTCACATAGACCACTAATTGTATACTTATTTCTACAAGCCGCTAGAAGCCTAAAATGATCTAGTGGCCCAACGTTGTTTTAAGATAAAATATACTTTAGGTGTTATAAATTAAGAATATTTAAATATATATCAATTTATTTATTCCGTACTAAATTACAAATGAATAAATTAAAGCCTTATTTTATGCGATGTAAAGTTCAAAATTAATTGTGCAACTTTTTAATTTTATTCTAAAGTGTTGTCTGTAGACTTCAAATAGATTATGATGATTGGTTTCAAATTATAATTGAGTATATAATTTCATGTCAACAAATTACATAAAGTGGAGACAATAGATTTACAATCTATTATCTAACTACATTGATAGACGCAGTCAGAACAATTATACGAACACGCAGTCGTTCTCAGAAGTTATGCAAGAAAGTTCATATTATAATTATAAGTTATTTATAAAAATATTGAACATATTTAATCATGACAGCTCGTTGGCGCAATGATTAGTGTATTCGGTCTGCGATGCGGAAGATAAGCAGTTTTTGCTTAGCCCAAATGACAAAGATGAGTGACAAAAAAATATTTTCTAGATCTCCCTCGTGTTTGGGAAGCCACGTTAAGCTTGCATTTGCATTCGTAGATAAACCCTACTGGTTTCGAGTAAATTCATGGCCCAATCTCCCCATTCAATTCCATTCATAATGCAGGCCAGTAGCAAATTAAAAGTTAACACATTTTCCAGTATTACTAGCGGTATGTGCGTGCGCGCAGGCAGTGGACATAAGTTTACTGGACACCAGTGACGTCAAGCTGAAGTTACAAGATAACCCGTATGGAGGAATTGACATTATTCTAGAAAGAAGTAAGTAAAAAGACGAGGTACTATGAACATTATTAAATTAAATAACATATTAATTTTAAATGTCATCATCTCTGAAGTCCCGGGTTCGATTTACCGGTCGGGTCAATGTCGAAAGTGAACTTTTCTGTGAACTGAACTGATAACGTGCAGCCGTTGTACTTATAACAGTTCAGTTATAAAGTAACCTTGTATTGATGTTACAACTGCCTAAGCAATGTTCAGATTGGTAGCAGTCGGTTCAAGTTAAGAACATTACAAAGCAGTTACAGATATGTGCGATCCTCATTCCTCGTCGTACTGCCGACTTTTTCTCCTATTGCTTTTCTGTACATGCTGTATGTTTATGGAATTATTTCCCAGAAAACTTCTGGAATTATTTCCCAGAACACTTCTGGGAAATAATTGGGTCTTTCGTTTTGACGATCGAATTAATCTGCTTTTAATTTTTTTCTTATTTAAGTAATATGTAAAAATATATAATGTATACCACAATTCAGACTATTGCACCCAATACCCCATATTTTCTCTATACCTTCTATTATTTTCCTCCTTAGCTTGCCTAGAAGAGAGATTGCTGTTTAGCAACAACGCCGCTATTCGTGTACTCCGGGATTTTATCTGTGTCATGTGCAATAAAGTGTATAAATACTCATAATATTGAAATATTCGTCGGTTTTTCTTAGAAGATTTATCGGAGGTGATAACAGTGATCGGCCGGCACGCCGGCGCTGCGAAGGATATCGTTCAAGACGAGGATCCGGTGATACAGTTCTCTAACGGCACAACAGTGAGGATCAGCTGCGAGAGTGTGGCCGACGGGAAGGGGCAACTCGTCACGCTCACCTGGGAAGCACCTAAAACTGTCCAACTCGAGGACTGCGTCAACTTGGGTAAAGTTTATTTCCAACCATGGACCCTGAGTGGACCACACGTCGTCTAAAGGTGTCAGCATCTCTTACGTCCCGGGTTGAATGAACTTTTCTATATTGTCTCGGGTCTGGGTACCTCGTTGTTTTGGAGATCTATACTACAAGTGCTCAAAGTCACTTAAATTGGGATTTGAGTAGTGTTTGTAATGTCGCCTAATATAAATCTCACATCAATGACTTAATATCCTCCAGTTTGAATTAATAAGTATTTCATATATAATTAACGAAGACTTCGGAAGTCACGTTAACGCTTTGGTCCCGACTGCATCTGTAGCCTCTAGAAGCAAACATGTTACTGAGCTTTTGCCTTTTTGCATCGTTCCGGCACACATGCAGAGTTGTGTGTCTTTTAATTAATTATTTTTTTCTTTAATATTCAAGCTTTGTATTCATTCAACTTTTATAATTGCTGGCATGTGTGTATGCAAATAAAATTATTATTCATTCATTCATTCGTCTATTCGCACCAAATGCATGTGACCCAACAGTAAGTACATTATTATGCCGATTATATAATACAATTCTTACATTGAATTTCAGGGCCTTACAATTGGTACGGGGGTCCACAGCAGAAGCGGCAGTACTGGCCTATAGAGCGGCTGGTCCTCCCCGACTACTCGTACGTCACCAAGGAAGCTGACAACTGCGCAATCGCCGAGCCCTACTGGCTCAGCTCCTCCGGTATCTTCTACTACTTCGACAAGAAAGTCCCGCTCTTCGTGGACCAAAACAACAGGGACAAAAATGCTGCATGCTTCAAAGCACAAATAAAATCTCCTTACTCGAGCAAAAGGGACAAAAACGACTTAATATACGCCATCGGTATATTCGAAGACCCGAGGAAAGCTCACGAGTATGCCATTGAGAATTATTTAGGAAAGCCAACAGAAATACCCGATGAGACTATGATCAAATATCCCATCTGGTCGACATGGGCGAAATACAAACGGAATATCGACCATGAAGTGGTGTTGCAGTATGCAGATGACATTAAAAAGTATGATTTTCCCAATAGCCAATTGGAGATCGATGATCTGTGGGAGACATGCTACGGTTCACAAGAGGTCGACCGCGAAAGGTTCCCGAATATGAAAGATACTGTAGCAAAATTGAATGAGAAAGGGTTCAGAGTGACGCTTTGGACACATCCGTTTATTAACAAGGGCTGTGAGCCTTGGTATTCTGAAGCCAAGAGTAAAGGGTAAGCTGAACATTCAAAAACACCTTCTGCGATATATTAAAGCTTAGTTTAATAATGTAAACATGAACAATCCTATATCCTTTTAATATTATAAGTGTGAAAGTTTCTTTGTTTGGATGTTTAAATGTTTGTCGGTCAATCACGCCGAAATTACTGAACGGATTTTGATGAAATTTGGTATACAGATAGGGGTTTATGATAGGGGTGTATTTGGTATAAAATAGGGTATTAGCTGACTTGGATAATAGGATACTGTTTATTCCACTTAACGTCTAGGGAAATGTTAAGTGGTCTACGCGGGCGAAGCCGCTAGCGAAAGCTAGTTAATAATAAATGAATATAAAACTTTTAACATATAGGTTAAAACGTGAGAACCCTCCGCTATCTTATTCCAGATACCTTGTGTCTTCTGAATACGGATCAGTCGAGACGAGCTGGTGGAATGATAACAAAACGACTACAGCATACATCGATTTCACGAAACCCGAAGCGCGTAACTGGTACATCGACCGACTGAAGAAGCTCAAGAATGAGACAGGAATAGACAGTTTCGTGTTTGACGCTGGAGAGACCAGCTGGTCTCCACAGGTAAAAGATGACTTCAAGTAATATATTTTTGTCGAATTCTAGATGGTAAACACCAAAATATTCCTTCGTCAAAATAGATATTGTAATACAACATTTTTAGATTCCAGAACTACAAGGCAACATAAGAGACCAGCCTGGCGTGATTACCGCTGATTACGTGAGAGCGGCAGCACAGCTCGGTCCATCGGTGGAAGTCCGAACTGGATACAGGTGAAACACTTCGCGTTAAACTCGCTAGTGATGCGTATCAGACAAACGGGTTGAAGTATTCTTGAATGTGTCGAAGGCTGCAATTTCTTTTTTTGTAATTATCACAGCAAATATCTAACTCATGTTTTTAGCCTAGACAATAGAAAGTTAAACGTCGATAACATATTTAACTCCAAAATGTAAAATGAATTAAAGGAAAACATATTTATAAATTATTACGCGACATCACACGATGCTCCGTAATGTTCGCTCGCGTTTGGTTTTTTCAATCCACAGCTCATAAATAACAAGTAAAATTTACATTTTTTTTTAATATTACATCGTTATTGTTTACATTTGAAATTGACAATCGCGACGAGCAGGACCCAAAACCTGCCCGTGTTCGTGCGGATGGTGGACAAGGACTCGTACTGGACGTTCGAGAACGGCCTCCCCACGGTGGTGACGACGCTCCTGCAGATGAACATGAACGGCTACTCGCTGGTGCGGCCCGACGCCGCGGGCGGCCGCGGCCCCCGGCGCCCCGACAAGGAGCTGTTCCTGCGCTGGCTGCAGGCCACCGCCTTCATGCCCGTCATGCACTTCTCCCACGCGCCGTGGGACTTCGACAACGAGGTTCGCTTTACATTATAGTTAAATCAAGCATTCGTATGCATCGCCCGGTCGCTCAGATTATTGACCCTGGATCCTATCGTAAACTTGGATGACCGTTTTATAGAATTAAAAGTGGAGTTTTTTTAATCAGTGTATCACGTGACCTGAAACGCCTCGCCCCAGGTCCGTGTCATCTCTGCATATGTCAAACTAGTCCTCGGGGAGGACCCCCGGTTTCGTCATTCTTATCTCGTTTACAGCTTTTTATTTTTTGGCACCGGCCATCATCTTTTTAAACGTGTTCGATACGTTCGTAGCACAATCTAGTATGGGACGGGCGATGTAATGAGGCGAGTCCTTTGGACGCTTGGTGTGCAGACGGTGTCGATAAGCAAGCAGTACGTGGCGCTGCACGCGCGCATGGCGGCGCGCATCGCGGCCGCGGCGGCGCGCGCGCCCGCCAACGCGCCCGCGTGGTGGGCCGCGCCCGCCGACGCCGCCGCGCACGACATATGGGACCGTATGTATCGACCCTCGACTGACCGACTGACCGGCCTATTTCTATTTTTCCAACGATTATAAATACACTTCAATTGCCGAATTCTACACGAGTACAGTCAACAGCGATACACCGTGGGTGGATATCAATATGAAACTGATGTGCAGCCGTGTGTAAAATCTTGACCAATAAAAAATATTACATACTTATAATAACGGATATTAAACGTAATTTTTACATTTCAACTGAAGCTCTCAAATACAGAAATACACAAGTCCGATGTGCCCCTGCGACCGATCGTACGTCAAATTTCACCGTCTTTTGTTAAAGATTCGCGTCATTTCGTCCAGATTATAGAAAAACTAAAGTTGGAACCTGAAGATGTAATGGTGAGCTTTGTCGTCGAGTCTCTTTTCTGATGAAAACGTTCCAATTAAGGAGAGCCTGGACGTAGTGAAAGACATTCTAACGGACAACGAGATGCCGCCCCACTATGTTGAGCTACTTGGCCACTGTTTGCATGTTAGCTATTCACTCCTCTGCCAAGGTCAGTATTACCTTCAAATTGATGGCGTAGCAATAAGAAGTCCAGTGGCCCCAGTACTTGCCAACATTTGGATGGAAGATTTTTAAGACAAGGCACTACAATCTGTCTCTTGTATAGTGAAGATTTGGAAGAGAGATGACGTATTAAGCGTGGTCAGGGGTGGCCAACAAGAAGTAGATCCAACTCCTTAACGATCTAAACTCCATTCACCCGAATATTCGACTTACATACGAAATGGAAGGGGATAGATCGTTGCCTTTTTTAGATGTTCGATTAACCTCGAAATCTGATGGGTCCTTAACACACTGTGTATACCGAAAACCAACGCACACGGATCTCATCATCACCCCCGTCACCTGCAATCTGTAGTAAATTCGTTGAAGAACAGAGCATACGACTTCTGTGACCCTGAGCATTTAGAGCAGGAGCTACAGCATGTTCAGGTTCTTCATAAAAACGGATACCAGATGATGGGACGACAAAAGCAGCCAGTGAAGAGGTGCAGGCATCCTATGGTGAGTAGACCTAGACAGCCAGCCTATATGCCTTATGTCAAAGAAGTGACGGACAAGGTCGGCCACGTATTACGTGAGTACTCCATTCCGACAGTTTATAATCCAGGTATAAGATTGAGTGACATCGTAGGCACTCCCAAGGATGTCCTGCCTTTGTCAACGCCGGGGGTTAACAAAATCGACTACAACTGTGGTGGTTCCTATATAGGTCAAACCAAGAGATCCATCGAGGAAAGGGTTGAAGAACACATATCAGCTGTCAAAAACCGTCAGTCAAGTAAGTTTGCCATTGCGGAACACCTACTGGAAAGGGGCATAAATCTCTGGATCGAATTTTACCGTACGCAAGTCCTTTCCACTGATCGCCACTTTTATTCAAGGGTAGTGCGTGAAGCGATTGAAATTAAGAAACATCCTAATAACTTCAATCGGGAAGACGGATATAAATTGTCACAAGCGTGGAATCCAGTATTTGCTAAAACGCAACCTCTTTTTTCGCAATCGGTATATTTCCAGAATTCGGCTCATGTGCTAAATAGGGACAATACGTTAGGGTTATTTGTGAGGGTAGTTGGATGTAAAATCTGAGGGTGGAAGTAGATTCATCCTCGGATGCAGAGGCGTAGTCTTGCTACTCCATCGGCGCAGATCAGTGTAAAAATCGCGTCTTATACCCATTAATATAAGTATGTAATAATGCAGCGCGATAGCTTAAAAGTCAATAAGAAATATGCAAGAACTTCATATCTCCCGTTTGATCGGAGAATTTTAAAAAAACCTTTGAGTTTATGATTTAATTTTGACTGTCACTATTTCTTCCCAGAATACATGCTCGGTGAGGATATAATGGTAGCGCCGGTGCTAGAGCAAGGCGCTCGAGAACGTGACATATACCTGCCCGCGGGCGAGTGGCTGCCGCAAGGAGACAGCTCCAAGAAAATAAAAGGGGGGGGACTGGCTCCGAGACTACCCCGCCCCGCTGGACTACCTGCCTTACTTCGTTAGGGCTTGACATCGAAATATAAACAAAAACTCAAACTACCCCATGGTGTAATAAATAGTTAAGAAAGCACATAAAGCGAATCAAGAATATTAATAGTGAACAAGTAAAGACTAAGCTGTAAATAAAATAAAAAATGAGTGAAAACACCATTTTAGTCCGTCGGATGATGAAATTTAAAGATATCAAAATATTTTAATAATCGCAATTTTTACTCGTTGACTAGCTGCGATTCCGGAACTTTTCTTTTTATCTTTATGCGCCCTCTTAACTATAGTTACTATTTATATTAACCTGTATAGACGACTAATTAATGTACACCTATATAAATACCCATCGAAAGAATATTAACATATTTTTAAATAAATAGTTTATAGAGTTGAATTTGTTCGTATTTCTCTTATTTTATCAAGCATTTATCGTTAGCTTGACTGGTTCTTCAATGCCCAAAATAAAAACAAAGAAATTTTAATTGATACGAATTAGCATATTTAAAACTAGAATATTTCTTTATACTCATAAGAAGGATGCAGTATTTTATCGATAAAACAACGTCGACAAGTTTTAGCCGCCACTAGACATATGACATTTCGAAATAGACACAATCTACTTTGATTGGTATAGGTTGCCGGCTAATGAGGAAGTATTTAAAGAAAATAAAAGAAAGCACTAAAAAAGCACCACACTAGATGGCGACTCTAGCAAAAGCTGATTTTTGCAGGAAACGAATGAACCAAAGACAGTCATTTCCGTTCGTTTTAACAATTAACATATTAAAAAACTGAAATTTGCAAAGTTCCAAACTTAGATATCAAAACAAATACGAAAAAGTACAAATAGAATATGAGTTGCTTATTGAGTTTTGAAAACTAATTTACTTTTATAAATGAAAAAAACCGGAAGGACTGTCGTGGAGAAATCAAGGAAGTCCTGTAGCGACATGTAGTTTGATTTTGGGAAATATTTTTTTTTTAAATACCTCCTCATTGCGAAGTTAAATGTCAACCACGTCTTTATTTACGATAGGCTTGTGTCCTACAAGTGAAAATGCAGCTTTCTGTTATTTGTTCGGAATATATAAACCATTTAAATTTATAATTATTCAACAAAATAAGTTTTATGAGAATAATCTTCGAAAACTATAACGCTTCGAAAACTTGAAAAAGTAGGGAAAATATAGTACAAACATTTGCTACAATACATATGGCATTAAATTAGTTACATAAAACGTTACAAGTTTCATTAAATAACAAAATTATTACAAAGTCTGGACAGACGGCCATACGGTTTTCGCTACCGTAGCATCGTATGACGTCACTTGGTGCATTGAATTCGTATGGAGCGTTTTCGGTCGATCAGCAGCAGTTCCACATACACAACACCATATCACCGAAACTAATAATCGCAGACACGCTGTTACCTCCACATTATTTCTTAGATATTAATGGACTATTACAAATTTAATTATAAATTAATAAAAAATGACAATAACCTATTCTTTATACATGGCTACCGCTACGCATAGAACTGCAGCGTTCAGGGGTAGTTTCCGATATGCAGCTTCCAAAATTTGGAACAACATTCCTCCGCCTTTGAGAAATTGTAATACATTGCTTACTTTTAGAAACCACTTACGTAGATATTTAATGGATGCGCAGCAAGAGCTGGGTAATATCAACATGGATATTTCTTATATATAGGTTTACTTCAATTTTTAATACATGTATCCCATAAACTTTCGCATTTATAATATCTGTAGGACTGTAAGTAATGTGTGATGCAGGCTGAATGTTGTGATGTGGCTTTTTCTCTTTCACTTGAATGTGAACTATTCTGGTCAACGATCATGGGAGCCCTTAAATTAAATTAAATTGAGTTATGTACATTGTAGTATTATTTGGAGGTTTTGAATTTATTTAGTAAGTAATTATTATTGATATGTATTGTTTTCAGTTCTCAATTTCATTCATGAATGCATATTTCAATTTTCTTTATTATGATTGAGTAATTATTGATTTAATGGAATTTTATTTAATAGTATTTTTAATAGTTCAAATTTAATTGAGAAAATAAAATAAACTTTGATTATATTTAATGTTATACAAATTGTTTGCATGAATGATTGTCGTGTGCTTATTGTTGCATGATGTTGCATATAGTTTTATGTTTCAATATTGAATCCAACATACACACACACACACACAGATACACACACACACACACACACACACTCACACACACACACACACTCACACACACACACACACTCACACACACACACACACACACACACACACGCACACCCACATGGTATCTGTTCTGACATCCATAGGTCAAAAGAGGGTACTAGTTGAAAATCAGCGTCAGCCTTAGCTGACAAATGCTGAACTAGTCACCCTTTTTGGTACAGTCATGGATGCTAAATTTGAAATATTACACTTTTCATAATGTGTTATTGTATTTTATTATCTAGTGTTGTGTACTATCATATTTTTATTTACAACATGTACTGTGTCTTGTGTCTGTATCAAAATAAATGAATTTGAATTTGAATTTGAATTTGAATTCTACTCACCCTTTGATATACTGTGTTTTCCTATTAATAGATATAAGAAAATATTAAAACGTGAACGGAAATACCCGTTTTGAACGACAGACGCTTGTGCTTTACTTAAAGCACTTCGAAATTCTACAATAAGGCGCTCTGCACGGAACTCGTTCTATGGTAACTATGACAATCAAGATGCGTGAAAAAAAAATCCAACTTTCAGAGATCTTTATTGCCTAGTTTGTTGGATTTCCTGACACGGCTGTGACGCCGACATGGCCTTTCTATCTTGATATGTTTCTGTGATAAACTCGTAAACTAATTAGAAGGTATTCCGAATACTTAATTCTTTGACGGACCATCAAATGCCCTTTTCAGAGAAATTCGAAATTCTATTTAAATACATGATCGTATATTCAATGACGAAAAAAATAATAACACATTCTTGGGATTTAATACGTACGTATACGTACTCGTCTTGTACGAAACAAACGTGCACGCTCTTGCGTTACAAACTACCATTACTATTATACTCATACAAACAATATGTTTTCTACGGGTTGCATACGGGCATAGTACTCGGTTGATCCGGTGCAATGAGTAGTAGAAGCCGTATAGTTTAAATTTCTACTATTATCATGCATCAACAACTACAGTTAAAAATGAAACTAAATATTAACTAAAACAAGGTTTATATTACAGTAAGTTTTGGTAACTGGTACCGACTCTATTTGTGGGTCACGTGGTCCACGAGCCCCTCGCCGAGTATCCTGAAGTCCTCCACGAGCGCGTCGATGTTCACTTTGTATTTCGTTTCACCGTCGACGTTGACCGGCATTAGAGCGTTAGCGTTCGTTAACTGTGAATAAACATGCCAATGTCATAACTTGTGTCTTTATAACACTTCATACCACATTAATATGATCATAATATATGACATACTAGAAGAAAAAACACGCGTAAATTATAGCCTATGACAACCGCGTATGATGTAGAATTTTTAGGTAGCTGAAAGTTTTTTTTAAAGATCATATTAATTTTATAATTGCTGGCATGTGTGTGTGTGATATATGCAAATAAAATTATTATTCATTCATTCATTTTGTATTTGCATGCTATTTCCAATAAATTGAGCATTTAATAAAGAATATTAGGTTAAATCGATTGCCTATCTTTATAATAGGTTTCGCTGTTGATTTACGAGGAATCCCCATTTCCCTTTCCATAAAACTAACCTGAAACTCCCTCAAGTTATGGATGTCAGGTTTCCACAGCACCGCGATGACGTCACCACCATAACTGTCGTGGAAGAACAGAGCGAACTCATCGTATGCGACCTGAAAACGATTTGTTACATTACAAACAGAAAAGTTCACTCACTCATTCACTCGTTGAGATTAATCACGATTGATTTCGTCAGTCACTTGCATTATTACTTTTGTCCTTTAAATATTAGAAATAACCAATACCAAGCATATATTAACTTAACGGACATGCTAATGCAAGCTCAATGGCTCAGAGTTTAGTGCGTTTGGTCCTAGATACGGAAGTAAATCAACTTTCGTAAGGGCCAACCATAAAAATGGTATGGTAACCTAAATTATATTATCTAGAGCTCCTCCGTGCTTCGGAAATTAAACTGTTAGTCCCGACTGCATTTGCAGACGTTTAGATCTAACAGTCCGCACTGGGCCCGCATGTCGGATTATAACCTATTCTCAATATTCGATTTTTTATGCCTCCATGGCGAACTTGAGAGATCGAGAAACGGATGAGGGCGAGACCGAGAGTGAGATATTGTATAGCACAATCTTGAGTCTCTCGAGAGTTTCTTGAGTATCTTGAGAGTTTCTCGAAACTCTCAACTTCGTCATGCTACGCGGGTGCCATAACTGGACCTTCGTAACCGAGTGGCTAACACGCTGGCTTAAAGGTATCAAAATCTCTGAAGTCTCATAATAATGTAGAAAATGTGCTTTTCTATTGTATATTAAAATTAGTGGGTTGCTACCGTGCACCTTATATATCTCGCATTCCCAATATTTCTATATTGTGTCTGGTTTGGGTGTAGTGTTGTCTGTCTTCTTTGATTCAGATTTAACATAACACAAATGTTTTATCTACTTAATATCTGAACAATATATGTGATGCTGTCTACTTATTATTTACTTCTAGATGTTTTCCCGACATCGCTCACCTAAATTATGGCCCAAGTCAACCCCGTATGATATAGCTATCCGTAGGTGTTTTTTTTTTTAATTTTATGCAAGCAAATAAACAAACAATCAAATCTGTCCTCTTTATAATACTAGTACACATTATAACTGCTCACCCTCAATTCTTGTAAATATTTCCTGACCGGGTCGAACTCTACGACCGGTATAACTTCGGCCTCGTCCGGGTCAGCGAGGGTCCTCAGCAGTGGAGTGGCGTCGACCCGCTCGTGGGCGTACGGGACGAGGTTCTTGTGCAGGTGGATCAGGACATCGTACCCTTCGTAAGATGGTACGAACGCGCCCTAGTGCCAATATTTTCCATTATAAGTAAAAATAATCATTTAAAAATTTAATGTACTTACATCTAAAAATAAGACTCGTGGAATGAATGGGCTTGATGTGAGAAGTTCACATATATTTTGTTTATTTATAATGCTTAATTTCGTCTATATTCGAAACACTTATACTCCATTCATTATAGCATTAGACAGAATGAAAATAAGGTTCTTTTTATGGTATACTTTGTGACAAAATGTCAACAATCATGTCACTCTTAAGACTAACGGCTAATTTGCTACATATCCACATAAATACCAGCTGCTATACTTAACCATAGTCTTTTAAGCTATATATTAAACAAATTTATGAGTATCTGACTGACTTAAAACATTTAATAATTATTACAATAAAAAGTGTTCATCTTAAAGAACCTAAAGAAGCAGGGTGTCGGCACGATTCTCATGACACTATAACTCTACCAAATTTCAAACGTTGCCTAATCCCTACAATCGTTTCGGCAGTGCAGCTTTTTAATTTTGTCAGATTATGATTTATTCATAATAGTCAAAATATGTAATCTGGGATTGTCATTCATTGTGAATGTTACTGCCTTTCTTGTTGTTTTGTCATTTTCTGTGATTGAGTAATTACTGTTTTATTGTTGTTTTCTTATAGTTTTGTTTTAGTTGTTATCTTTATGTTGTTAAGTTTTGCTAAATTGCGACTCCGGTGCAGGCCCGAGTGGTCTACAAAAATTACACTCTAAGCCCCCATGCCTACCCTTAACCATTGACATTTCAGGAAGTATTTCCAATGTCTTCATCAATAGTCTAACTAATTACACTTACAATTAGAATTTATCAAAACAACAGATAGATAGTTTCAGTTTTAGTTCCATTTTGGCTTTGCTGGCTTCATCTCAACCCTGAGGTATTGTAAAAAATGGAAAATTGCCCAGCTCTTTCAGACTACCTAGTGTTCAAAGTTTTTAAAAATCTAATATATATATTTTTAAATATCTTGCAAATAAAATGTTCTGAACTGCTGCTTCTATGACCCTTTTTTTCTAATGTTATAATGAATGGAGTATAAACGACTTCAAAGGAGCTTTTTATTGTAGACAGAACATGGATCCACTCACCAGTATGTTATCCTCCATATCGTGTAACAGCGCACGTTCCACGTAGTGTAGAGCGCTGCGTGCGAGCGAGACGGCGCGCGCGAGGACGAGGGGCGAGGGGGAGGGGTAGCGGGCGCCGGGGGCGGGGCCGTCGAGTGACGTCACTATGTGCAGGCGCGGGGACCGGTCTGCGCGGGAGCTGTACTCGCTCTCTATTGCGGTTATGTCTTCACCTGGACATGACGCGTGACACAATCATCAATTTATTCACTCATACAATATGACCAATATAAAGATGGAAATTGCAAATCATTATAAAGGAAATTCCAAAAAAAATAAGAGGATGGAAAAAAAAATCAATAACTACTAAAAATGTTTTATCAGACTTAAACATATGGGGTGGTTTTAGATCAGTGTTTCCTAAACTATGAGTTGCGAAAGAATGTTCAGGGGGTTCCAATGGGTTTTTAGTGTTTATTTAATACAATTGTAACAAATAAGACTAAGAGAAGTTTTCAGCAGCACATGATATCGGGGGTCAATCTTTTTCTGAAACAGCTAAAAGCTGTTTCGAAAATCGGAGAGGAGTACATTAGATGAGTCGAAATCTATACAATATAAGAAACTGCCGCTTTAGACATATATTTAAATCACAGAACACGGAAAAGAGGTAAGAAAGGCGATCATGCATCCTTTGTACGAAAACCGATGTAGCCAGTCTTGCCCAACTTTTAGTCCGCCGTACATCAAACGAATAATCAGACCAATTATACAAAAGATATGCACACACTTGTATTTTAAACATGCCAATCAGAACGCTCCAATATAACTATAACCAATCACGCTCAACCATAACAGACATCTATAGGGCGCGATAAACGTGTAAAAGCCATTTTAATTTGACATATCACACTAGTGACATATCACACACGTTACGTTAGTCGATTTCGTATCAAGTAAACAGATAAGATCGGCAACATCTCTTAAATGAAACTAATAATATTGACAGACAATATAATGTAAATAAATATATACAAAATAAAAAAATACTATCAGTACAATAAATGATATTGGAACTTACCCTGAACAGACTCCGATGATTTAAAAAGTATAGTTGTTAATGGTTCAAAATAAGAAAAAAAACTAGTTTTCTGTTACAATATTAAGAATATAAAAACAGACTTATTACCACACTCATTATTAAATTAATATACAAACGCATTCCAAACGAAGTCAATATGGTTAATATCTGATTAAATTTATTTTTTATTACCACTATTTTTATTGTCCATACTTTTATTTAGTTTTTACTACCTAACATACCAAGAATCGATTAAATGTTTCCAGGCACTTCACTACCCATCTACCGTAATCTATTATGTTGCTATTTAAAACGGTAATTTCGCGATATTAATTACATTACGTGCTTAGTACGACGCAATGTAATAAATATGCGCACTTCTCCAGCAATGTATATTGTCTTGGAAATATTTTTTGTGATTCACACTTATGATAACTTTTCACGATTTTCGAATAAAAACACTAAATTTGAGAAGTGTTCTACTTAATAATGGAAAGAAATCCTTCCTTTGGACCTACTTGAGGATGGGCTTCTTGTTTTGCAATTAATAACTGCGAAAGTCGGCATTTTTAACACTTTTAGTGGCGTGTTTCACAGTACTTACAGCGCGCGCGTTCGTGAATGACTAAACATTGCGATCGCGTGGTGAAGTCATGATCCTGTACATTTGTCTAGGATCGTGGCTAAACTGCCACGCCCGCAAGGCCCTTCTAACGTCTTTCTGTGTTCTGTGATTTAAATCGTAACTCTGCCGATATCAACACACAGATATTCATATTATTTCTTAAATTTTTACTGGAAGAAATAGACATAGGAGATTCGAATGAATAACAATCAATTCGCACCGAAAACAACATACTCATTTGAAAATTCAGTATGACATTTGATCGATTTTGCATTCGCAACTTCCCACCGGCAAAAAATCCACCCGCCTCGGGGACCCGGAGACTCGACGCCGCGAGCTTTCGCAAGCCGAGCGACCTGAAAAATCGACCTGTTGAAACACTCACGCTTCATGTCGCCGTGGAAGTCCAGCACGAGGGCGTCGTTGGCCCAGTCGGTGTCGGCCAGCAGCCGCCACGCCGCGTGCAGGGCGCGGGCGGGGCGGGTGGGGCGCGGGGCGGGGGCGGGGGCGGCGTACGCGGCCGCGGCCAGCAGCTCGGCGCACGCGGCGGGGAAGTGCGGCGGCGCCAGCAGCTGGCAGCACAGCCAGCGCTTGAGCAGGCAGCACGCGGCCCCGAACGACGGGTGCCGCTGGTGCAACCTAGCGTGTACACTCGATATATTGGTTTGAACGGTAGCTCCCCTCTTGGGCTCTTCGATTCGTTCTCGATAAGGGATGTCGCCCGAATCGCCCGCCCCCGTGAAACGTATGGAGAATCGCAAGTGTTTCCTCGTGAGATTGCCCGATCTGTCGATATCGGTCCCGAATCTCCCGACATCGAATCGTATATCCGTCCTCATGGCCTGCGACCTCGCTTCAAATGTACGAGGGCGGTCGAACGATAGATCTGCTTTCGATCTGTTTTAGATTTTCCGTTTAGTAAAATTCGGAAGCGATCAGTGCGCAATCTTCCTATTGTCATCGAAATATCGTATATTAAATTTGACAAATAAGTGAAAAGCTCGATAATGTAGTGTTTAACGCGTTTGATCTACGATTGCAGAAGTTAAGCGACGATCGTAAACGCTGGTAACCGGACGGGTGGTAAATTTTTTTGGCGTAAAAATTGCGAAAATTTTTTTGGCGTATCGGGCAATCTCACGAGGAAACACTTGCGATTATCCATACATTTCACGGGGGCGGGCGATTCGGGCGACATCCCTTATCGAGAACGAGTTGCGTCAAATCGAGGCATGAATAAAGAGCCTTAATTATTAAACGAGCATCGCTTATCGGCAACGATTAAGGCTCTAAAAACAATTAAGGCACACGGAACCTGTAAAAGGTCCGAAAATATAAACGCGCTACACCCATTCAAAATAGTTTTAATGTAAAAGAAGCTGATCGTATATTGTTTTATAACAATACTAGCTTTTCTCCGCGACTTCGTCCACGTGGTAAAGTTACTTTGAGCAGCATTTCTAACGAATATTTATGCATTATATCGTGTAAAATACCTGAAATAAAGTTTCATCCCCTATTTTTCCCCTATGGCGGAATTTATCAAAATCCTTTCTTAGGGGAAGCCTACGTCATAGTAGCTTTATGCATGCAACGTCTCAGCCCGATCGGTTTATAATTGACAAAGTTTCATACAAACTTTCATCCCCCATTTTATCCCCTTGGGAGTAGAATTGATCAAAATCCGTTCTTAGCGGATGTCTACGTCATAACATTTACCTGCATGCCAAATTTCAGCCCAATCCGTCCAATGGTTTGGTCTGCGTTGATAGATCACTATGTCAGTCAGTCAACTTGTAGAGAGAGAATAGAAGTAGTAAGTGGGCGGGGCACGCGTCGCTGGCATATGCGCTTTTACTCATATGACGCCCTTTCCTCGGTTTTATGTTTGCCAGTCGGTCGTCAATCGTCGAGTGGTGATTTTACAGATTTTTTCTATAAAAAATGCCGTTTTGTGCTATTATCACTTGCAAAAAGCAAAGCAAAGTATTCAATCTAACTAATGCAAACATTTCCTTTCACTGGTAAGTACAATTTTAGTGCTAAAATATAAAAAACGTAATAATTTGACACAATGTTAAATAAAATATACATTGATTGCTCAAACCAACATCAATGTGTCTGACCCCATTACTAAACAGCAATGTAAATCATTTTGTGCACTTTTGCAAAAAATAGTGCTGTGCCTCCATTTGTCTGAAATGTACCGATAGGCTGCTGCTGCTCGGAATCGTATTGTTAATTATATGGATCGTAATCGATAACTAAAACATATTTATTTAGAGCTTTTCTTTCATCATTTCATAACAACGTTATCGATAAATATATGCCATAATTATATAAAACTAAAAAATACTGTTTACAAGGGAAAATTATAGATGAACTGATACTGAACAAATGAAATAATGAACTGTCCAGGCACTTTTTTTACGAAGATTCGGTTAATTATTTACACGCAGATAAATATTAAAAATTACTGATGTGCTATAAATATCTAAGTTACGAAGTATATCACCGTTTTATGAACAATACATAAATTAAACGAAACTTCGTGAAAAGCTAAGAGTTGGCCTAATAGGTCTTGTTAGAAACTGGTGAAACTGGATTTCACTTATTTTGCATTACTTATATTTCAGTTTCCCTAATAACTTTACAACGGATTGCCTTGTTTACATAATTAATTTTGCCCTATCTGTTTTAGACCTAAACCTATCAAATGAATTTCAAAACAACATAATATCTATACAAACAAAAAATTATGTTTTCAACTAACGTAATATTGTTGGTGGTGTGAATTTAATTTACAAAATTAATTTTTAGGCGTCAATTTAATTTACCTTATTATGCTGATTCATAATCGGAAACTATTATTATAGAAATCGAGTTAAGAAAGCCACTTTAAAGAACCGCCCACAGAACAGCTTTTATCAGTTTTTTTGTTGCTCCATATTTGCACATAAGTTTATAGACGCATGTCTCAAACGGATGTGACTTTATATGTAGATTGACGTTTGTACGTACTTATCGCTTTTGTGTCTATCTTCAAACTTTTTTTGTCACGGCTTTCAAACTCATACTTGACCAGCAATTCCTTATTGTCCAGTCGTTGCAATTAATAATGTAGCTACTACTATTATTACAGATATAAAACTTAGAATAATAAAGTAAAACAAACATGGCTATGATCAATTTATTAGTGTAATGATCATATTAGTTATTATGAAATGAAATGAAAATATCTTTATTCAAGAAGGCTATTACAAGCACTTGGAATGGCAAGTTTATTTTTATTTCTACTTTTTTTTGTGAAGGAATCGTAATGTTTTCTTGCGTACATAATATTTTCATTGATGTATTGAGAGGCAACAGTCAAAATATTTATTTCTTTAAATATTTCTCTGAGAGATTCTCTAGACCGTAAATTATATATAGCGTGGACAGCTCTCTTTTGTAGAATAAAAATATCTTGAATGCTAGCCGCAGAACCCCATAACAATAGATTATACGTCATTCATTACACTATGAAAATAACTAAAATATACCAATCTTGCCGTTTCAACATTTGTTAAGAGTCTAATTTTCTTAACAGCAAATGCTGCAGAACTCAGTCTACTTGACAAATTATCAATATACCAAAATACCAAGGAACTTTGTCGATTCCACCATCTCAACTTTTTCACTATTTACATTTATAAGTATATTAACATGCCTCACATTAGGTAATGCAAACTTTATGTATTTCGTTTTATTTGAATAAAGCTTTAAATAATTACTATCAAACCACTGTAGAAAATTGTCGAACTGAATTACATTGAACTGTTTCATGACAAAATTTAAAGCTCTTATTTTATCAACTAATATGTCACATCACTAATATGCACAATCGGAATGATACCAGTAAGAAAAAAATACAAATTAGGCTTAATGTAATTAATACAAAAAGTCTGTTGTTTTCTTAATTTTTGTTTTTTTTACACTTTCCCTCGCTTAATTATATTACTCCACAGACATACGATAGAGTGTATCATTAAGTTTTCTTAGTTTTTGTACTGCGTTTTTTAAAAGATATTTTAATAAATTATGTAGGGAAAAGCCTTAATTTTTCAGTATTCACTTGGTTACAGCAAAATCTAATATTAATAGTTCGCACATAAAATGATGACCCCAATTTTTTTAAATGTGCATAATCTTAAAATATTTTTTTCCTTCTGGTATCCCCATATACAGCCACGTGACAGTTCAACATTCATGTTAAAGTAAATTATTTATTATCACGTTGAATTAGAGTTTGTTTTTAATCGTGTGATTTCTTAGCTTAGTATCTTTTTGGGATTTGATTTATGTTATCGCGAACCTATCGCGTGGCGGTTTTTCATGTAGTGAACAAAATGATCATTTCATCTAATCTGTATTTGTGTGCGGAGAGGCGACACTCGGTTCCCATACTAAATTAATATCATTATACTTCTAATCTCTCTCTATGTTCTGTGGTCAACTTTGAGTTATATATATTTAGATAAATCCTAATTCTATGTCTATATCCATAGGAATTAATGTCCAGCCCATAGGAATTCATTAAAATCCCCCCTCCTCCTGAGACCGAGCCTTTCCAATGGATAGAATGTAACGTTCGTAATTCTCCTAATAGCTATTTCAATTTATGTATATAAAAAAAGAACTTTATTTGTAAAAAAAAACCTAAATACAAACTATAGTAGTTTATATTAACAAGTTTTAACGGCATCTTTGATATTAAATAATTATTAACAAAAAATAACTTACTATTATTTTACGAGCGAACATACGAACAAAGTGAAAGTTTTGTTATTTAATTACTTTACGTAGCTACTGGTTTGACAAGGACTGTGCGGGTTGAGGTAAGCGGGGAGAATAGCGACACTGACAGCGGCCAGCTGATCCGCGCTCCTGCCACAGGCACGACCAAACATTGATAAGTTACACATGTACTTAACGCTCGCTAATACTTATAATTTTGAATTTTAACGTTCATGTTGGTTCGTCGTCTATTTAAAAAACTTGTTCTCAAAGCTGTCTTCCTTAAGAATTTACTATTCAACGAATTTAAATTGCATAGTGTTTGTGTTTATCCCGTACTGGGTAAGTTGTGCAAATATATAACTGTAAATGGTATTTTGTCTGCTTTTTTTGCTTCGGCATACATCATTTGAAACTGTTAGACTAGATTTCCTTAAAGATGTAGTATAATGTGAAAAGTTGTGTGTTGGGTTACTTTATAATATTATTTAAATCTAGGAGTTGCAAAAATAATGAATACACTGATATTATAATAGTCATTTTATATTTTTAATGCTGTATTGTTAGAAATTTAGTATTAGTAAAGTAGAATAGTAATTGTGCCATCAGTTAGTTTTGTAACCGTTACTGCTTTCTATTATAATTAATAAGATATTAGAATTTTAAAATTAAATTCTAATATCTTATTTGTCTTCTTTTTATTTATTTTATCATAAATAAAACGTGACAAGAATCGGATTAGCCTGATACAAATACGAGAAAAACGGAAATATTTCGATATAAGCCTGGAATATTTTTTATCAAGTTTGTGAACCAATTACAAGAGACTATATTTAAGAATCCATCTCATTTTAGCTAAGGAAGGTATAAAAAAAAACATCAAGTCAAAAAAACCTTCATTTCCTTCACGCAAAATTACTAACACGACTTTTTTCACAAATGTTGGTTTTATTTATGATAGCGACAATGTAAATTACTGAAATCCAACTAAAAAATTTACAAGAAATAGTGACTTTTATTAAACTTTTTTTTATTAAGTTTTTTGTACTAGTAGTTTAATATGATAAAACTTTTATTTGAAGTATTTCTGAGTGGATTTTAATTATATTTTGTAGAATATGTGTTTAACTCAAAAGTCTGCTGCATATATTGCGTGTTATATACCAATATTCCACGGGAATATTGGTATGCAATATTCCCATGGAAATTTTCATTGGATTAAAAACAAAATATACTTAACGCAATATAGTAATATCGATTGAAGTCGTATTTCATTGTTAATATAATTGATTTTATTGCAAATATCTTTAAATATTTAAGTCCATGTTTTCATAAAAAAATGAGTTTCCAAATATAATATTAGGAAAATTTATGTATTTCATGGAAGTAACATTGGTAACAGAGTGAAAATACGTAGAAGTCACTTAATATGTATTTCGCTTATCATGCCATTGAGAAATTAAAAGATGTTTTTTTTTTTAACAAATAATCCGAAAGAAAATGTCGATTGATTAATTCATATATTAAAATGGGAAATATATGATAACCTCATAATAATAAAACAGCTGTTATGTTTTAATGTTTGATCTCCATACTGCAAGTTGGTATTTCTATCAGGCAGGCAATTTTTCGGTCCCTCATGCGACCCTTCCGCTTAATTTCCGTATCGCAGATCGAACGCGCTATATTTATTTATACATACGAAAATCGATGAAGTTTAATTTATTTAAAAAGGCATAAACATAGCTGTGGGAGCATTACATTATAATACAACCACAAAGGGCGCGAAGAAATCACAAATGTTACCTCCCTATTAGAATCATACAGCATATCTCTTGTTAGAACGAGATAAACGTACTCGCTCAGTTTCGCGTATCAACCCCGATCTTCCCTAGTAATAGAACACGATGCATGAAAAAATGGCCGCGTTCAATGAAGTTTAATTATTTTTATTAAAATAAAAAAAAAGTAAGTACAGTAATTACGCATGAAATGAAATCTTCTTTGCTTTCTGATTGTCAATGTGTAATTAGCAGTGGTCGGAATTAGGTAGAGTTATTCATGTACTTACACTGATTTCATACAGCGAAAGAATAAAGTGGATATGACTCAAATCCCGAGATTAATTTTAAAGAGCCGAAAAAATCCCGTGATTTTTTAAATAAAACTTTATTTACTTTTACACAATTTAAACTACCGCACGCACGACGTTGCCAAACTAACATCAATGAAAGAAAAAAATAAAGAAAAAGACATAAAGAAATCCCGGGAAGGTCCACATTAATATCAACATTTCGATGCAAGTACATAAATAACTCTACCTAATTCCGACCTCTGGTAATTAGTGCATTGTTTAAGCACGCAGGAAGGCATTTTTTCTACAACTTTTCACAGAAAACCACTAGTGCAAATCTCATTGGCTCACCCGTGCAGAGCGGCCCTGAGCCTCGGCAGCAGCTCGACGTCGCGCCGCAGCCGCTCGCTCTCCTCCGTGTCCCTGAACTTGACGACGCCGTTGTCCATCTCTTTCCGCAGTAGCGTTATCTCTTTCGGATGCGCTATCTCCAATCTGTACACCAGTCCTCGTTTGAGTACGTCCACGTGCGTCGGGTACGCCTGCGTGGGCATGGAGTGCTGTTTGTTTAGTCTCTCCGCTATCTGTACGTGGAACGCTGCCTTAAGACAACGGAACGCTTCTATATCCTCTGGCCACTTGCCGCTGTGACCTGGTGGACAGATGTTTTTTATAATTAATATAAACAATATGAAGACAATCAATGGCGTCAATCTTGTACCTAATTAGATAATATATTTTGAATAAAATAGATGATTTAATTTATTCGAAAGAGGTTTCAATAAATCAGATGAATATGGTTCTGATTCCTTTGCAGGTTCTGTATTCTCTAGAAATCAAGATTACTTCGAAAATGTATAGTATGCGTTGAGGCTGGGCGTAAAGATAAAATACCGTCCCTATTCGGTTTTCTACACCCAGCGATGAAATAAATGGAGAAAGATGAATAACTTTGTGGTTTTTTCTATAGACAATTTGTTATAAATTGGCATTCTAACTGTGACAAAACCCAGAAATGCCCCAAAATTATATGGATTTTATATTCCGGCTTATTTGGACATAACGAAGACAGAAATTTTTGGAGTACATGCCTTCTTTAAAGTGTAAAGAAAGTGTATAAATGTATGTAGTGTACATTCAATAATTGTAATTAAAGCAGACAGGATATTACAGTCATGCACAGACTTACATATGGACATCATTCGACTGACAGTTTTGGTTTCTTAATGAAGAAAAAAATTCCGCGATTCGGGATAGTAGTGGAATAATTAAAGACGTCCAACACGCAACGATGACTACTCAGAATTTAAACCGACGAGACTTAGGTAGTTTTCAATGTATACTGGGTGAACCATCGGAAAATTAAGCCAAAATGTAATATGATCAGTCATCGACATTTCTTCATGATTATGTAAGTTTAGAGGTGTAGATATATCTAGGTATAGATTCCGATAGGAATAATTAATATAAATAAATAATGAATACAGAAGGGAATCGACAATGACAATAATCAAGAGAAAAACAAAGAGCAAAAGCAAAAGAACAAATAAAACATATGACAAACTTATCAAAGAGGATGGCGTCTTCCCGGCCAGCCGCCGACAGCCGCTTCAGATACAATTTAAAAATAACATTACAGGTAAATCTATTTTTTATCACTACTATTCCGATATCACCATATTGGGATTCGTTTTATAGTATTATAATTTCCAAAAAAGTCATGGTCCTTCGAGCGGCGCACTGACCTAGTTCGAGGACAGCTCTGTTGACGGGCGTGTACTCGGGGATGTTCCAGGCGCCGTCCGCCCTCCGCGCGTCCTTAATGAGGGCCGCGTTGCCGCGACGCCGCGCGTGGGGCGCGTGGGGCGAGTGGGGCCCCGCGCACGGCACGGCGGGCAGCGGCTCGCAGTAGCTGAACACGGCCGATACTCCTGCACGGGTACGCTCAATATTACCACGTAATTTTATAACGCTCCAACGACTTGAAGATACGCTTTAAATCAATCGCGATCGATCGATGTTGAAATTGTAACGTTTGATAATCTTGACGTGCGACGTTAGCGCCGATTGAGTTATCGTCGAGTAGTTATTGAACAAAATTTATAATATACTAGCTTTCCGCCAGCGGATTCGCCCGCGTGGGCTTGTATTATACATAAAAACCTTCCTTTTGAATCAGCCTATCTATGAAAGAAAACCGCATCAAAATCTGTTAGTAAGTTTTAAAAATGCAAGCATACATAGGGATAGAGGGACAGAGAATGCGACTTTGTTTTATACTATATAATGATTGAGTTTGTGCTATGATCCTTATCCGTTTTATTTCAATGTTAACATTATCGGTATCGTTTGTTTTCAATACGCAATTCAATTGCAATACTCGAGAACTTCGTTTGAAAAGAACAAAGTAAAATTTAATCAAAATTAAGATTGAGATTACGTTCGAGAATCAGGAACGACGTACGGTCTAAACGGTCCATTGCCAATCTCTGTTCGACCTCTATAAAGAGAAGAGAAAGTAAAAATGTGTTCTACCCACCGTAGACTGCGCTGACATCTAGCGGCAGGTCGGTGAGCTGCCTCAGCTCTCTGCGGAGATCGTCCAGGCCCTGCAGAGCTCGCACCGAGGCCTCCTCGCACGGGGCCGAGTACTGCTTGCGAGTCAACAGTGCCTCCAGCTGATCGTGGACGTGGAACAAGTCCGTTGGTGAGATATCTGTGGATATGAGGCAGGCCCCAGTTAGTTTTTTTTACATATTAACCGGTCAGACCAAGCTATATACTAATAATATTATGAAGGGTGAGTATTTTAATGTCCGTTTGCACTAAATAGGCTCCAAAACTACTAGACCTATCTTCAAAATTCATTCACTTGCAGAAAGCTACATCAGACACGAGTCTCTATAGCATTTAAAGTCTTAAACTTTGTTGTGCATAATGAGTATAAAAATTATATTGTTTTGCAATAAATAAATATGTTGAAAGACGATGTTACCATATTTGAGTTTAAGAATGTAATCGATAATCTGCCTGGTGATGTCTCTCCTCTCAGAGAGGCTGTCTCCCTCCCACACGCAGGCCTCGGTGATGGAGCCATCCTGGAACCGTCGCAACTCAGACTTGTCTCCCCAGAACGACCTATACAGAAAACTCTGTATTTAGACTCTATGACACCACAGAGTCCTCGAATGAATTAACTGCCATATATTTTACATGGAAAAATATTTAAAAATTGTCATAACATCATATTGAACCACTACTTATTTTTCTGCAATCATTATAAATTAAATAAAAAATAAATTTGTTATTCATTAATGTATATTGTCTTGCGAAAACTCAGTTATTCCAAGCCATTTCAATAATTACATGAGTACTGGTTGAACTCTCAACAAAGACATTCACTTTTGCTTATTAAAATGTGACGTCATACGATAATCCATGCACTGAGTTGCAGCTGTTCAATGCCCTTCCATGGTTGAGCGGTCAGCACATTGATAACATGGTTCAATTTTTAGCGAAATTAAATCCAAAAAACTTCTTTAGATTATCTAAAAGCTGATTCACTGGCAAAAAACATACAACTACACGCCTACACAAAACCGATTTTGACATATAGTGCAGAGTCGGAAAAGCTTAGGAAAGGACAGAGACTACCTTTTGAAGAAAAGGGATTAAAGAGAGTTGAAATGCCTGGTATTTTATATTTCGCACGTGTAGAAAATATATACTTATTGCCTATTAAAATGATAACCAAAATATATACATACATACAAATGTAACTTTAAAGCAAAGACTACTATGCATACTCTATAGACAATCTGTGCAGTACTGACAAATTGCTCACTTAGTGAGTTGGATATCTCTACTTACTGCACATTGTCATTTCTTTTAATTGTTAATAGAATTTCTTTTCACTCACTCTACACACTAAGCCAATGCTCACGCTATGCCACGATTGAAATTCTGAATAGTTTGTACAGTACACAATAAGCCCTTTGATTAAAATAAAAAATGAAGTTGTTACAACACACCTGAATTCTTCAGCTTCTGGTAAGTTTGCAGGTGGCCCTTTATCAACTATATTAAGATAATTGTCAGGATTTAATACAAAACCAAAAGAAAGCTGTTGTTTGTACCTGAAAATAAGTAATTTTTTAAAGTAACAGATATTTTATTCTAATCTACTACATGTAATTGTAAAAAAGGCTATTGTTTAAAAATTGCACATTTTGATTTGATATAGAACTTGCTACAGTACTCACCCTTCTTTCATAGCCTTTTCAGGACGTTTCTTGACTGACCATGAGAAATCGGCGTCTACTAACTGCAATATTAGATCCACTCTGGAACCTAAACTTTTTTCCAAGAGAGCATACAGTTGTTCTGTAACCAGAGACAATTCTTCCACACCATAGTTTATTTTGTCAGAATTTGAAACTTTGGACATCACCAACTCTATTAAATGCTGTATGTTTTTGAACCTGTAATACATATTGGCATAATGTGAGGTTACTAAATCCTGTGGTACCAATTAAAATATGAGCTAGATATGATATTTGAAAGTCCCAAACACATTTTACAAAACTGTACAATCAACAGCACATCAAAAACAACAAACATCTACAAACTTCCCTTTTTGATTTTAGGCCTTAAACTGATGAGAGTAAAGTACAAAATTGATTTTATGGTATTTTCAATAACCTGTTGTGATGCTGAGTATACTAAAGTATAGTATCATAATTTTCTATAATGTCTTGGGTCTGCATGTTGTGATACCTTCATTATTTCAAATTAACATAACACAAGTGCCAAAAGCTACTAAATTGGGGATTTGAGCAATTTAGTAATGTTGCCTATATGTTTATTTATAACAAGACAATTCCTGTATAAATGTTTGTAACAAAATTGTATCTAAATACCTTAATATATGATCAAATTGCATCAACGGCTGGTGAGGTTTCATAAAAAGTGGTATAAAACTGTTAATTTTTCCATTATCCAGCAGGTCAACAGCCAATGCGCTCTCCCTTTTCAGAGCATTATATGTGCCCTGGCACATTTGCCAGCAAATGTTATAATATCCTGTAGTATCAAGGAACACTACTGGAAAATGCTCTTGAAACTCGTCTATAGATGGTGTATTACCACCCTTGTACAAAGATATTCCTTTGACATTCCATTCCGATGATTCTGTAATATCAAAATTGGAACAAAAATCAAGTATGCTGACATATATAACACAGAATAATGACAAAATAACAGTGACATACTTAACGCTATCCAAACGTTTCTTATGATTTGATAACTGCTCATTATATTATTAATCCTTTTATTTTGAACTAGGTATACAATAAACATGTTGATAATGTAACCAGATACTTGAAGACTCCTCTGTCGTAGCCATATCTTAAGTAATACAATTGCTTGTTTCAAATTATCACTTTTCATCAACACTAATTTCAATACACTGTCATTTTCTGAAGCTGTCAGATCATATAGAACACTGCTATTGTAGTAAGGAGTTGGCGGACCTACATCTGTGTTATTTTCAGCATTTTGAAATAATAACCATGATTCTCTCAAGTTGTTACGAGAGGGACTAAATCTATGCAGCTTGTATGCTTCCGCTTGACATTTCAAATGAATACTAACTGTTAAATGTTTGCCCAACTTTCCTGTTGGTGTAAATTCCAAGATAGGTTTCGTTTCATTACCATTTATCCAAGAGTATTTCAAATTTTCTACATGTTCATAATTGTTAATGTGAGCTGCAATACATGCTAAGTAAGCTGCTCTTTTTTTGTGGTACCTGTAATTTATTGAATCATTTTTTGTGTATGTATCAGCCGGCACAGTTATCTGTACGTCAACTCGAAGTTTAGAATTGATGGAACATCCTAAGCTGTAAGATCCAATTATTTCTACATCATCAAACTTATTGAATTTAAAAACACATTTTGTTTTTTCAAGTTTGTTACTAATTGGTAATTTCACTTTGAGTTTCTTGATCAGTGTCTGTTCGGTTAGGTCGTATTCAACAGCATCTTTGGGTATCGAAAGTAAGTAGTTTTTGAAATCAACAAACCACTGCTGAAATTTCTTTTCAGTTTTCTCTTTAACTTTTACTTCATGTAGAATTTCTTCAACTTGAAGGCGAAATAAGTTGGAGTTAAATAGATTTTCAGTTTCTTGAAGCCGATTAAGCTCATTTACGGTCGGTTGACGGTACAAACTTCGAGTTTTTAACCTCTTTCTATTATTTGGATTGCTTTCGCTTTGTACTTGTCCCTTATCATCGTCAGTTTTTATATCATCTTTTTCAGAAATAGAATTTTCAGCAACCTAACAGTGTGGAAAAATAAATACAGATTAATTTATTAAAGGACATAAAAATCAAGTGAACGATGCGTGTAAAAATTTGAATGTATCAACTTACCCTTTTCACCATATTTGAAGTAAAAGAATAAATATATAAACACTCAGATTATGTAAGAAACTTAATCCACTATTTTTATTTTAAAACATAATTAAGGTTAAATAGTTGTAAACAAAGCATGGAATTCGCAAAAGAACCACGTGAGTCGTGACATTTCATTTGACACTGACAGTGACATTGACTTTTCAGATTAAAACTAAATAGGGTTTCCAATCATTCATTTCATTTTCATTCTACATGTAAAAAATAATTTATTTACATGACATTGGCAGAATTGTGCAAAATGCGCAGATAAGGCATTAATTAAAAAAGAAGAAGAAGAAGGGTTTCCAATCTTGATTTAAAATTATCTTATATCGATCTAAATAATCATTTGATCATAGCCCCCAAATCGATCTCAAAGTCATTGCAAAACTTTTATTTTCTATAAAGAATTTGTTTCATTTTAACGAATTTACTTATAAAACAACTGAATAATCTAATATATCATAATCTAATCTGGTTAAACAGCCTTTGCCTGTTGAAAAAAATCCAATCTGTGGTATTGACTCAGGGAGAATTTGTTTGTAGATTTCGCTTTGTTAATGTTAAAAAAAAATCTATTTGTACTTAATTAAAACGGATTCTAAGAATAATGCAGAGCTTATATTTTTTAAATTAACTTCTTTTAATTTAATCTTCAACTTGATGTCATTTCAATTATAAAAGGATTATATAAATTTTTATTTCAAATGAGGATGTATGTTAAGAAAAAAAAAGAAAGCACTAAAAAAGCACGTAAGATGGCAACTCTACCGAAATTTTTTATTAATTTTTGCAACTATTTTGGTTCATCATTTCCGTTCCTTTTGACAAACATATTAAAAAATTGAAATTTGCAAAGTTCGAAACTTTAATATCAATACAAATACGAAAAAGTACAAATAAACAATGAGTTATTTATTGAGTTTTTAAAATTAAATTACTTTTATTAATGAAATAAAACCGGGTTGTAAATAAAGAAGGGTTGTCGTAGAGAAATCAAGAAAGTACCGTAGCGACATCTAGTTTGATTTCGGTAACTAAAGTTTTAAAAACAAGAATTTTGTGTGACGTAATTTATAGACGGCCCTTTAACGGTAATTCTACTGATTGAAATGTTGTCATACAAAAATCTGCTACTCGTTAGTTGTCAAAGTGAAACATAGGCGAAACTTTGGTTGGCAAGTGATAATCGGTCAAACAATTTTCGGTGAAAAGGCAGGCTCCCAATACAGATAACAGTAGATATAAGTTTCGTCTATAGGGACAGGCAAAGGAACTCAGCCATTCTGCCAGGTCTTACGTATTTATGTAGAGGTAAAACCCACTATTGTTTTGTTGATATTTTTGATAAAGGCTGGTGGATGGCATGGTAACACAACTGTTTTTGTGGCGGTCCAGCCACCGGCAAAAAAGGGAAAAACCCTTAAGTAAGCCTTAGACTTCACGTAGTCGACACTTCATCTTATGAAATATCGAAACAATAGTATAGATGTAAAAATAAGAATATCCAAATTTCTTAGTATAGAGATATACCTAGTATAAAAAGTCAATTTCCACTTGTTATCCATAATATTAAAGTAATTCCAATGAATCTAGAGGTAAAAAGAACAACAGATTGTTTTACTGTTTACCTAATAAGGGTGAGTTGATATTTATTAAAATAATAAAAGTCATGTTTTAATTACACAAGATCGTTTTATTTAAAAATTAATACTTTTTTATCTACAAGAGTTTTTTATGTTTTTTTCCTTATTTGTGGTTGGTATGATATATTTAAATAATATTAATTAATCGACTTTTAAACATCATATGCATAATCTAAAACTACGTAACCAGTTATATTTACATAACAATTAAAAGACACGTATTTATAATCTCATCACAAAATAGTATTGTTTTCGCTATTTTGTTACTTTAATTCTATACTGGTATAGGCTTTGGTATAATGATTTTCAATATTGAATTACCTATTAAGAACTTACATCATTATAGGCATGTTAGTATTCGAGGATTTTCAAATGAGTTCATAATCTAAGCACATTATCTTCAAAAAGTTCACATATTGAATTATGCATATTGCGTGCTCAAATATATCAATTCTTTTATAATTTTGAAATAATAGCGTTAGTAAATTCGCTGCATTTTCCAGTGCCTCCAAGATCGCCTGTGAGACTCTTGCCCTCTCGCAACACTGCGTAACAAGCGTTCTGTACGCGATCTGCGTGTTCATTGAGTTGTAAGTGCCGCAACATCATAATGGCAGAGAGTAGGAGAGCTGTAGGGTTGGCCATATCTTTACCCGCGATGTCAGGGGCGGTACCGTGCACCTGGCATAAAGAAATAAAAAAATATATCAATAACAATGAAACAAAATAATTTGCCTTTCGTATATATATGTCTAGAACTATTTATACCGTTATTTTAGGTTTTTTATTGAGGTTTTTTATTTTAATTTAATTCTTGTAAATATAATGAAAAACTAGAAAAACAGTCCCAAAAAATATACACGGGCTTATATATTGGAGAATATTTAATATTTTGGACTGCTATTGACTACGCAGCAGGTTTCGTGACGCATTTTTATTTGTGACAATTTCTGTAGTAAATAGTTCGTCTGACAACAGTTCCTTTATTCGTAACTGTGCACGCTGCGATCGATTAATGGTTCTTTCACTACCTACTTCGCACCCAGGAAATACGTGGAATACGACAAAAAATTACTGGGAATTTTGGGCAATATTCCAAGATGTACATCACTAGTCTTAGCAGGGTCGTAGCTACCGCCGTATCGTATCAATTACATGGGGCTCCCCAACATACGTAAACAAAAATTAATAAAACTTCCCAAATTTCTTTTTATTTCGGAAATTACAAAAAACAATAAACGCAATTTCTTTTTCCCCGCGTAAAGCGTACCTACGTTTCAAAGTTGGGATTTCTTCGTTTAAGTAATTTATTTTGAATCGCACAATTATTGATGTATGTACGATTAAAATTCGCAGTTTATAGAAATACATTCTTTTTTTTAATGTATTAACTGTGAAGAAAATCTTTACCCTTAATAAAGACCCCCAAAGTATTTTTTTATACGGGGCCCCGTCAAGGCACGCTACGCCACTGAATCTCAGTGTCTGTCAATAACATATCCCTTTTATTTTAACTTAATAAATGTATAAATAACCAAAGCAAAGGGTGGATCTAACGTTATGGACCGGTGGGCATACCCACAATCCAAAGAGTTGTGACGTCATACTTTCCGATTGAAACAGTGTGCCAGGCTTCTACGATATTCAGGGTATGTTCCGATATACACTGCGACCACTGAACAGTATGACGTCAATTTAGTATACTGGAAGCCCGTTCCTTTATAGTTAGTTATACTGGTGACTCTTTAAAACGGAACGCAGTCCAGTATACTGTTAATCCTATTTTTTGGCGCCATTTTCAAATTTGTTAATGCAAGGTGAATATAAATATAAAGATTCCCTCTTTTCAAAAGAAAATATAAAATTGGAAAATTGTATAAAAAAATTATTTATCCATCTTATAATAAACGTAAGTATTTTTTTTTTGTTTATTTAGAAACTTATCATTTTCTGATTCTGTTTCGACTGATCACGTGATGAAAAGCACTGCGAGCACCTTACCTCGAAATCTCCAGTGCTCACAGTACAAATATGGCGGCAATTTATGACGTCATGAATTTCCCTAGGGTACTGTAGCAGTGTACTGGCAGTCCATAACGGAACGGATTTTTCAGCAGTAAGACCACTGCGCAGTGCTCGCAGTGTATATCGGAACATACCCTGTCTCTTATTTATCAGTCTATTACGAAATTGGGATAAATAGTCACTGCTCTGATTATTACGATCGAATGTTCTAGTCTTATATTAGTGTGACAAAACACTATTATAACTTGATCAGACCTAGAATGTTAATGACAAATTAGTGACGTGTGTTTGCTATGATTTTACCATCGGGAAAGTTTGCTTTCTACTCATAGAAATTAGTGTGTGATCTAAGGAACGCCTTAAGTAAATGAAACAAAAGAAAACTGCCATTTTCGGACGATTTTTATTTCTTCCCGTATTTATTTACTTAAATAAACACAAAAAAATCGAGTAATATCGCAACTCAAGTAAGACAAAAAATTACATGATGTAGAACAACCAGATTCCATCTGAATAGTTTACGCTTAAAAATATATAATAAATACGCTGAAGCTTAATGTTGTATGGTATTCAAAAATATTTTTAATAAACTAAACGCACTACACAACATAAATACGATCACAAAATAGAGGAACTAACACAATAAAAGTTATATCACGCACACTAATATGTTTCACTATATAAAGAATACTGCTGGATAAGGTGGTAACTCAATGGCAAATACTGGTAACACTTCACATCACTGTCGCGGTACTGATATCATTTTATGAACTAACGATAATCTTTGCTATCGATTGGTAGTATCTATATAAGTAAACTGGAATGGAAATATTACAACTGATCGTATATAGAAAGTACATACGGCTGCACGTCAGGTTACCATATTTGAAATTTCTGCAATTGATTTTGAATCTCATTTATTAAGAATTCAAATCAAACGGCAAATTTCGACTGATTCATAAAACCTGATGGGTCCTACCACAATTGCATTACAAAACATGTCAAGTAGTTGATCTCTTTTTATAAAATTTGTATTCAAATATCACTACCATGGATCGGTCCAGTACTTCTGTATAACTATATCGATTTGGTTTGGAAAACAGCCAACTTCGCTAACCACGGCTTCGCTAGCACAAGTGATATTGGTGGGAATTCTATTTTATCACCCAGTTTTCGAATAACGAAGTCTAATGACTTACTAGTTTTCTATTTCATCTATTATTTCTATTTAATCTTCAAAATTATATCATATAAATTGTCTCTTAACGGTTGGTGGAATTATGATAACGCAAACTTTTAACAAAATAAAAAGAAAGATTACTTATATAAAAAAAATACTGAAACTCGATGGACTATAAAACAATTTGTGTGCATGTCGTGTTATCTTTACAAAATAGAAAAAAAAAAACATTATCGACATGATCAAAACCAAATTTAGTCTAGTTAGTGCCAACAGAATCGCCACCGTTGACAAATATACTAATTTTAAATACTAACTAAATCATATTAAATTCGTTAGTGAAACTATAAACCTATTTTGAAACATTGATATATTCACTTTATGTTATGTTTCTCATTGTATGTTCCTCAACATAAATAAGTTTATTACAGTTGGAATGTACCAGTTGCTATTCAAAATTAATCTTTAAGAAATAGGCACTAAGATTGTTTAAGCTTAAGTATCGTATAGCATATAACACTCTCAATGTCAGTTGATTGTACTTATTCACATCTACCTTTATCACTATTTTGTATAAATCTCTGGGAACATATATGTTCACACGTAGAAGACAATTTCATTACAAGAACCGAGCGGTAAAAATAAATAAACTTATCGAATTTCGAACAAAAAAAAAAAGACACGATACAAATGATAAATGAAATCACAGATCTATTCATTATACTAAAATGGAATTTATCACTTATTGAATTACCGAAACAGACATTTTTAGCATCTCCTTTTTGGCGGGACTAATGTAACATCGATATTATTAACTTAAAATACACACAGGGTATTTAATATACAAAACAAAATTGCGTATTCGGTTTCCAAATTAACTGTCAAGTATACAACTGTTGGACGAACTGTTGACTCCTGAACGAGTGGCAGGGAAAAAAAACGTTGGACATTTCAAAAGTACTGTTAAGAAGTCTATTTGAATAAAGATTATTTTGACTTTGACTTTGGGTCAAAGACAGCTTACAATAACTTAACGCTGACGAAGATCGCGTTCCCACTAACACAGATTTCTTTAGAGAGTCAAGTCAAGAAATATTTCTTTTAACTGTAGAAAATTGTGAGCATACGCTTCCACTGAAAACTAGACTACTAACAGCCAGTTGCATAAACGTCAATTATAATTGTCATTAGTTTAATGCGACATTACCCATACAAAAGTGACATTCATTAGCGCTTAAAGGTCTCATTAAACTTTAATGGATGTTTGTGCAACTGACCATAAATCTTGTAAGGTCAAACTTGATTTCGCCAACTTGCCATTGTGATAGATTGCCTGCCTTTTGCCTATTTATATTCTCACTAATTATACTAGTCTCTCATTAGTTACATAATTCTATATATTAAATACATAAAGTTAATAATAAACGTGTCACAAGTTATCCCTCGGGATTTATTCCCGTAATCAAATCGGCCATCTTTGGCAGCGCCTCCGTGAAAAAACTCGCTAATCTCATTCGATCAAATAAATAAGCACTAATGTCTAAATGACAAAAATCTAATAGTACGAAAATGTTAATTCATTGTCAACAATTTGATCTATAATTACCTAACGTTAAAACAAATTTTGTTTATAGGAATCGTCGTCGGCCTCTCTAATGAAGCGGTATAATTGACCAGGCGCATCTATTGAGAATATAACTCTGGACCTGAAAAGCATTAGGTCGGATGTGCAGAACCAGCTAAAATCACTTATCGCCATAACGTTGCTACACTCTTTTTTCTCTTTCCGGCAAATTAACTCTTGTATGTTTGTGCCTTTTTACTCATGAGCAACAGTCATGCATAAAGTCGGATCAGACGACTTTTTCAAATATTTTGATTGCATTTAGCTATTTCTGTTTTTATACAGTTATGCCTAAGATTCCCGACATCCGACCTAATGCTTTTCAGGTCCAGAACTATTGGCAGTGGAAATAATTCATAAGTTTTTATATTTTTTAAGTTATCTTTTCATACATCAGGTTTAACCTTGTGTATTTAATACCCGTTAAGCAAATGCAAGGTGTTATCTACAGATTTTTTAAATATATACTTTACGAGATTTTGATAAACGAAATGTTCATACTTTATATATTTTCTTTAAATTACTTCAAGTAATCTCAACATAATCACCCAGTTTCTGAAAGAGTACCTAACGGCCATCTAATTAACCATCTTGAATTTACAGAGTTGTACTAAAAACGAAACGTCGATTGGCAGATATGCATTTTTAAAACTGGCAATCTCAACTCCGAATTTGGCAACACCGGGCCGGACGACATTCCCCACTCGCTTAGTTGAGGTTCCTGATGATTTCACTGGTGTATTGTGTGCAGGAGCTGTTCCCGCCGAGGTCTTCGGTCAGCACCGCGCCCTCCCTGAGCACGGTGAAGCAGGCGGCCTCTATTCTGTCCGCGTGATCCTTCATCTGTAAGTGGCGCAGCATCATGACCCCGGAGAGGAGTAAAGCGGTGGGATTCGCCTTGTCTTGTCCCGCTATCGCAGGCGCAGTACCGTGCACCTGAAATACATTAATTAATTAATATACTGATCGGTAAATAGTAATGTGAGAAGAGTGCCAAAGAACAGAAAACATTTCGTATGATGACCAGAGATTACATATCTCTTTCACAGATGCATCTAGACTTGCATATTGACTATTTACAATATCTGAATTGAATATTTACAATATCTATCAGTCTAGATATTGTAAATATTCAAGTTTGTGACCTACAAAGGTCAACATACGAAATTCTGTTTGGGAACTGGACTATAAATACTACTCCATGGAGTAGAAAGATAAAGTATTTTATCTAAAGTGAAACTCATTCACTGAGGATTCTTATATTTTTAACTTGACTATAATAGATAGGACACTTTTCTCACATTCTGCGAACATGCTACACATAAACACAAAGAAAATTAAAACGAAATCGAACCAATTATTGCATTATGGTTTTGTTTCAGAGATTTAATTTATGGAATCAAGACACACAAATTATATGACGTATGGCACTGCAGTTAAAGTACTATATTGTATGGCAGACAAACATTAAAAAGGTTGATGTATTTTTCAATTAAAATAGATAATGTGAGACACAATCACACTGGTATTAGTTAGACATGTAACAACATGCGTTGTGGTGACATAACATTAGTTGATGACAAACACCCACACCTCGGTTAGTTCATTCTAATATTCTCTCAAAATAAACTTACATAAAAGATTTTCTGGTGATTTTCCACTTTATAAGAACATTGTGTTTTATTCTCTCGTTGAAGTAATAAAAAAAAATGTTTAAAATATGTAATAACAGATTTATGGTATCAGTAATAAATATCGCATAAGTACCATTTCTTCGGAAAATAATAGGTGTGTTAGTTGGTGCAATATGTACAGATCAGTTATAATATTAAAAATTTTGTTTTGGAAATTCAAAATATACTTGTATAATAATTAAAAATATCATTATAATAACATATACCTACATGTATTATTAATTGTACATATTTAATACTATAAAATATATATTTTATAATTATGACGTCAAAAACCATTTTTTTATTATTAGAAAACATTGTTTCTCGTATTATAATCATTACGCGAATGAATTTTACATAACCATAAAAGTACCTTAATATAAAACAATAGATTCCTTAATTCATAAATTACTTCACGAAGTTTTCGAATTGTATTAAAAAATAACTCCTTTTTTTCCAGTATGACATTTTAAATTCGATTATAATAAAGAAGCAAGTATATTCAAATGAAACTAATAATGATGCTATATCTGTCTCTAAAGCATGTTTGTTCGAAATAAAAGTTTGTCCATATTGTGCACATAATAGAAATTTTGACAGTTTCTTCAAATTAAAAATTGTTTAACAGTAAAATGTGTTACGTTTTAATGTTTCACAATTACTTGTGTTTAGTTAACAGCTCATAAACGGCCAAAATTGTATCCATTTTGAATCTAAATATGCTGTTAGTTAAGTTCAAAATAAATTACATAAATTTGATTTTAGGTATTTCTGTTCCTGTGGCATTTGAAAAAGTGGACAATGACCCAAAATATAATGTGATCATTTAAAAAGTAAACGACGCCACTGTGTTTCGTTCTACGAAACGTTACAAGGTCACTGATTCTACCCGGTACAACAGTGAACGCACTAATTTAGAGGCAGGCCCGAGCGCCTGCAGTGGGGACGTAACGGGGCTGATAACGATACATATTTCTATGGATAGCGATACATATCGTCTATTTTAAACGTAACACTATACTGTTTCATTTCAACAACAAAACATTATACTTCAATGCTTGTATTATCGTCCGCCTTAGGAATAGTGATTGTTGACCAAATAAATCATATCACTGTTGTGGCAATCAAACGATACGTGTATGGTATGGTTTTTTCGTTTGTATAATATGTATAATACTCACGGACTCGAAGAGCGCTCCGTTCTTGCCGATGTTGCCGGAGGGCGTGAGGCCGAGCCCGCCCACGAGCCCCGAGCACATGTCCGACATTATGTCGCCGTACAAGTTCGGCATCACCTGATCACATAACACATTAACATGTTATCACTGATGTACATCATATTCTAGCGCTTCAATATGTTTTTATATAAAAGAAACTAGCACAAACAAATATTTAGATACCAAGTTAAAGTTCTTGTATTATTAAAATATGGAATGATGATGCTATTACAACACCCAGAGCCAAGAAAATATATTATTTCTCTATATTGGCTCGAATCCGAGACATCTGAGATGACGACACTTTGAAGCCGACGTGAATGCCACTCGGCCACGAAAATCGAGATAGTATGACCGAATTTTATGAAACTATATAAGTAAAATTTCCGATCCGATTTTACTATGAAATTTTGCGATATAAGTATCAATACTATAAATCCTATTAATATTATAAATGTGAGTTTCTTTGTTTGGATGTTTATCCGTCAATCACGCCGAAACTACTGAACGGATTTTGATGAAATTTGGTATACGGATGGGGAATTAGCTGACTTAGATAATAGGATACTTTTTATCTCACTAAATAGTTCCCTAAGGACCACGCAGGCGAAGCCGCTGGCGGAAAGCTAGTTGTAATATATAAACTGACCAGGACATCAAACTTGGAGGGGTCTTGCACCATGTTGAGGCACACGGTGTCCAGGTAGCGCTCCTCGAACTTGATGTCGGGGTACTTGGTGGCCAGCTCGCGGCAACACCTCAGGAACAGACCGTCAGACATACGCCTAAGGACACAAACAAACACCACATTAATATTGCATTCACTATAATACATTTATATTTATCTTAGTGACGTTCGTATGTATCGTATCGTATGTGCGTATGTCTATGCAACTAACTGAAATTGGTGTTGGCAAACGAAATAATATAGATTAAAGACTGTAATCGACAAAAAAAAAGCCAGTTGCACAAACGTCCATTAAATATTTCTTTTGTTTAATGCGACATTAGCCATACAAATTTGACAGCCGTTAGAGCTTAGAGGCGTCATTAAACAATAATGGACGTTTGTGCATCTGACCGTTTGTATTATATACTAGCTGACCCGACAGACTTCGTCCTGTCAAAAAGATTTGTAATGTGGCAGTTTTTTTGCCTACGTATTTAAAAAAATTCTCCTGAACAGAACCGTCACCCTGGTGATAGGGCGTTGTGAATAAAAAATAATTAAATAAAACATATATATAAGGATTTAAAAGTAAGTAATCGCTTTATTGTTAATCATGTGAATCATAATTATTATTGCAATGTATTAATAGTAATAGTATTAAATATAGAAAAAAGAGATTTTTATGATCATAAAAACACATTACACACAACAGCATTATAAAAGTAAACTATTCGAATTAAAAAAATATATAAACATTCTCAAGGAAAAATGCTGGAAGAATCCATCTACCTGTACCCCGGAATGGGACTCGAACCCATTCGCGATCCAGGGACTGCTCTAACCAATGAGCTATCTAGGACCCAACAGCTTTGCTACTACAGAGCGTATTTTCATCAATGTTCCGGCAATACATGTAATGACGTGGAAACTGATGCATTTTATCTCGCGTGCCGAAACTAATACAAAAGAAACGCGAGTTTCGGAACGCGACATTAAACTCCTCCAACTATGTATTCTGTGCTCCAACGCACACACGCACATTGTTTTGATAGATATGATCTTTGACGTTAGGAACACACCTACATTGCTTAGACAACAGTGAGTGCTTGTAATTTAATATGAACTTTATACCATAGCAATAAAGCTCAAATTGACTACGTTTTAGTTACAAATCATTTGTATGGGAAAAAGAAAAGGGCTATTTTTAGGGTTTTTCCAGCAATATTCTTTCTCGCCGTAAAAACCATCCTTGAACTTCAACGAACATTTTAAAAAAAGATTTGGCCAAATTGGTCGAGGCGTTGTTGAGTTATGCGCTTACCAACACATTTTGCGATTCATTTTTATATATATAGATTAGGTGGTATTTCCATACAATTATTACGACACGTAACTTAGGTAGTGTAGGTATTTTCTCATAACTCCATATTTATTGCGAACTTGAAGTAATCGATTAAAGAACTTTTCCTTTGCGTAAATGATGCGTAAATTAACCATGAATTCTTTTCACTGCATTAAAAATTGCTTGTTAAGCGTCGATATGTAACTCAATATCGACAAAATGTCGCCTTTGCCAATACCAGCAAGTTGTCATACTGTGTCAATAACGTTGTTCGAAATCATCAAAAACAATAAGAAAACAATATTAATATACAATTTGTCTCTATACAACTGTATGTTTAAAATCATTAGCAATTAAGATGTCACACAAGTCAATTTCAAAGACACTCACAATTAACATATATCCATTCTAAGGCAGTTATTTATAAGTAAAGGTATGAATATTCACACATTCATTAGTGTAGATGGCTGTGTTTCAAGACGATCGTTTTAAACGCTCACTAAAACCGTCATTAAAGCCCCGATTTAGACTTTGATAAGCACAGTGGCGAGTTAAGTTGCGACAACGCAAAACTACAATAAGTTGTAGTTTGAATTGAACGCCAATACAGAACTTAGATCAATGAGGAAAGATTTTAATAAAAAAAAGAAAGCACCTAGATGCCGACTCTAACAAAAGTTGATTTTTGCAGAAAACGAATGGGTCAAAGACAGTCATTTACGTTCTTTTTTACTAACATATTAAAAAACCGACATTTGCAAAGTTCTAAAATTAGGTATCAATACAAATACGAAAAAGTACAAATAGAATATGAGTTGTTTGAGTTTTGAAAATTAATTTTCTTTTATACATGAAATAAAACCGGAAGGGTCGTCATGGAGAAATCAAGAAAGTACCGTAGCGACATCTAGTTTGATTTCGGGAACAATTTTTTTTTTAATACTTCCTCATAGAGAGGCAACTTAACTAGTCACTGTACTTAATTAAGGTGACATTAGCGCATAAGTAAAATTTGACAAGTTTCAAATTATAAAAATCTGAGCGTCACGATTGGTAGATTATCAATGGTAAGTGATGAATTCGTGAAATAGTAAAGATAAATTCGTTTACTTTCTTGTTGTTAAAGTAAAATAATAACTATATTGATATACTGTAAAATTAATTTTGAATGATTCGATGTTAATGTGTGCTGGAATTAAATGAGATATGCATAAGTCGGTCAGACATGCACTGACCGTAAACATATCATGTGGCTTATCTTCGATGAACGCAATATTCTTACCTTATAAGCGACGAGACGTGAATTATTTCTTCGAATATTGTTACATATAAAATATAATTGATAATATTAAATATAAATTTCTAGTAAAGTTTTAAACTTACATATTCTAATTATAGCATAAGACAAAGAGTCAATGTACGATTATGTAAATACCTATATTCAATTGCTTAGCCTTGGGGATAAATAATATTATTCGGTTACATAATGCGTTTATCTGTTGGTGACATGACCTCGCACATATTTTACAAGATCAAGGTCAGCAAAAACTCATTTCCTTACGCGTATATTACGAATTGCATACATTGTTTCAATTCTGCATATATTTAAGACTATTCGTGGTAGGGTATTCTTGGAAACTTTGATAAAGCACGGTTGCAATTTACGGCGGTCGTACATGCCAATGGTATATACCAGGGGTCAGCAACCTTTTGAGTCAAAAGAGCCAAAAGTTACAATTATAACATTTTTAAGTTTTTAAAGAGCCACAAAAAATAAGTTTTTATGCCTACAATAAATAAGTAATGTAGTCCTACTCTCACTGACATCGACTTACTGCGCAGGACTTTGCTTATTGTAACCAACTAGATTTCGCATTCTTAGAGTTCACTCTCTCTCTTCCTTCCACTCTCTATATCCGATGGGACGGTTGACCGACACGACCGGTGAGAGATCAGGCGCAGGACCGACGGCTTAACGGGCCCCCCGATGCACGGAATCAACTACTTTCGGTCAATCATGGTGATTCAATCACAATAAATAGAACTTGCATAAATAAAGTAATTTTAATGTTTATTTATAAGACAAAATAATATTTATTTTTTCTTATATGAGTAGTTTTTTTCATAAAAAATTAAACTTATTTGTGGTATTAATAATTATTTATAATTCAAGTAAAAAAATAAAACAAACATTTAGTTACAACACTAATTTGTACTTCAATAGCCTCGTCCAGACTGAGCGGGTGAAAAGCGGGTACAAGCAAAGACTATGTGGCTGAGAGATAGAAGTGGTGCTGAATCTTTGTTAATCGATTCAGAAAGTTTTAAAATGATTTTTTTTTATAAAATAAATAATATTTGTGTTCGGATCTAAAGAGCCGCAGCTTGTCAGCCAAAGAGCCTCATGTGGCTCGCGAGCCGCAGGTTGCCGACCCCTGGTATATACGACCGCCATAAATTGCAACATATAATGCTCACGCGCACTCTGCAGCTAGTGGACGAGAGCCAGAGCAGTAATTTTTTTTCATTGTTATTATTAAACTGGTTAATGTGCAATTAATAAACAATTATAACTTGTAACAGATTTTTACGATTATAAAATAAAAAAACGTACATCTAGCTTTATGAGAGTGATGTTTTAGTATTAAGGAGAAGCTTTAGGACAAAATGTCTGGCCTAATACAGTGCCTAGCCATATGCAACAATGGTTTCAGATTATACGTACATAATATTAGCCTTGTGTACGGCGGTGACCTTCTTCCTCTTGTTGTCTCTGGCGAACTGGAACGCGAACTCCGCCACCCTCTTACTCGCCTCCTCCGTGATCAGTTTGATGGACTGCACCACTCCGTCGACGATCTCGTGCTCTATGCCAGAGTACTCGCCCTCGGTGTTCTCTCTGATGGTCACCACGTCTACGTTGTCGTATAATGTTTTGATTCTGTAAAAAAAAAGAAAACTATTTGTATAGAATATTAGCCTTTTATTCTAGCTACCGAGCTACCGAATATGCGTGCATTTGATTTGAATATTGAACTACATATGGTCTATGAAGAGTCAATAAATAATAACTGCAAAAATGCAACTTTTCAGAAGACGAAAAAAACGTTTCAAATCTATTGTATTGTTTTTTTCAGTACATTGCAATTATTGTTTATCTTACAAAAACATAAGAAACGAACCCAAAATGTTTGTCACTATTGTGTAGTAATCTATTTTACAACGAATAATTCAATAAAACAAAAATTGACAAAATGTCAGTTATTATTTATTGACTCTTCATGGGCGATATTCTGGATACAGAAGTTGATAATATTATTATCAAATTAGTGGAAGTGATCGATGTTACCAGATATGTTTCCACTTGTTCATTGTCAAGCATTTACATTTGAAAGGCATGTATCAAGGCTGGTATACATAATTAGGCGGTGACATAAAAGGACTGATGATGATTATTTAGAATTATATAATTTCGTAGTTCACAACACAAGTATATTATTTTGGAATATAATTAATCTACTGAACCTATTATTTTGGTAACAGTACATTACGCTTTGAACAGTACATAAAAAGTATATTTGAAAATTAGTAGTCTTAAAGTACTAGGTTCTCGGTCTATATTATCCAGTGTCTGGATATTATAGTACTTTGTCGTTTAAGATTTTCACGGTTCAAGTGCTTACGCAACTTAATTTGGGGTCTGAGCAGTGTACGCGATGTTGTATAATACTTATTATAGTTTTGATAATTGCAGTAGTTCGAGTGCGATTGTCTATAGGTATATGCTAATAGGAAATGGGCGTGACTTCAGCATGTATGACGTCAGAATGTCTCATGTGACTTATCGATATTGTAACACCAATGACTGATAAAAACGGACAGAAGAAGGATTAAGATAAATATGTACGTAATACGTGTCTGTGGCGCACAAATTAGATATCAGAAAATTTTGATCGATAACTTGTCATGTTGGTATTTGCCAAGTTTATTAGTGATTAATTTTTTAAATACGAATTAACGCAATTTATTAAATAATAATATTACAAGTGATCACTTTTAATATTTTTAATATTGAAATTCTTTGTAATATAAATCTATCTACAGACATGATACATGTCACGCGCTGAATTCTATGTCCCTGTCATTAATTTGTAAGGTGTAAAGAATGCTTATGCTGCCATAAAGTTTTTATTGAAATTATTTATTTTTAAATGAAGTAGCTCAGGTATTTTTTTTTTCAGTAAAAAGATATATAAAATATTTGGTATGTGAACGTGTTCATTATAATGTGCATTTGGTATAAGCGCTCTAAAATGCTTATTAAATATTTGTACCAAAAATATTTGGTATAAGCATTTTAGAGCGACATCTACAGGGTAGACGAGACTATCATAGGATAGTATGGACTACATTGACACTGGTAAACAATAACGATAACCCCTACAATAACACATACTAATATAAATACATGAAGAAATATCTATGTGTATTATAAGCGACATTACGGTTCTCGACGATAGTATAATTGACTGCGCGAAGGTCGAAGACTTGTCGTTGAATCACATTGCAGTAGCAATCAAGTAATTTATTAGTAAACTAAGCTTCGCACAGAGGAACTTTGTCGACTTTGTATCAAGAAAAATCATATACAAACAGTAAATACAACAGTTCTCCATACAAAATGGACACAACAAAGTATCCCATGTCCAGTATTTGTATACCAAGCTCTAAGGCCATTAGGTTTTTATGAACTAAAATCCTTAATCACTACATATTATAAAACAAAGTCCCCCGCCGCTTCTGTCTGTCTGTCTGTTCGCGATAAACTCGAAAAGTCCTGGACGGATTTTCATGTGGTCTTCAACAATAGATAGAGCAATTCTTGAGGAAGGTTTTAGTGTATAGTAAGTTTTGGTTTTGTACAAACTGACGATATTACAATGATATTAGTTCAATATGTCGGACTGTACCAAATTGGATGATTCTATTCATGATATGGTTTGTATATAAGTTTTTTTTTAAAACGTGTATAATAAATTATAAATGCGAAAGTAGTGTATCTGTTAGATGTCACTAAACTAATGGATTTCAATAAAATTTGGTTAAAACATACGAGTGGGCTTTGGGAAAAGACAAAGAAAACTTTTAACGCGAAATATAAGATTAAAGAAGTTGAACTGAGGCGACAATAACCGAATTCATGCGAAAGCAGCCACGGACGAAAAGCTAGTTCTGTAACAGATTTTTTTAAATAGCTTCAAATAATATTTTTAGTTTATAATAATTGCACATTGCCATTTAGAGATTCTAACCGTAATCCCTTTGCTATAAGAGCCTTCTTAAATAATTTACCAATCTAGAGTCACCTTTATATTAATCATAATCTAGTTTTATCCAGAATTATAACACACAATGAAATCGCATCCGTAACGATATCGAAATTTATCAATGAAATAAGGATTGATTGAAGATATGCATCAGCAGTTTGACAAATCACGAAAAAGATTAACTTGATTGATTTCTTTGAAACATGAATGTAGGTACTAGGTTTGCATAACAATAGAAGGTGACATATTTTTTATTGTATAAACAAACTGACACGACAACATATTTGTAAATGATAATTAAAAAATGCATAGTGGATATTCCTGAGAAAGTATACTTTGCGCTAGAGCAAAATCGATCTCAATACCAAACAGAAAGATTTAATTTACAAGAATTAAACAATGTTGTCAAAAAATTATTAACAAACTGGCCACATGCCAAAAGAGTAATGACAAGTGAGAATAACGGGCGCCGGCGCTATTGATAATATTCTATTAGATTTCCAGATCATCAGCCCATTAATGTCCCCAATGCTGGAGCCCAGGCCCATGAATAAAATCATTAAGACTACCATGCGGGACCAGTATAGTATGGATCCCATAGAACTATGAAGCAACTTTTGGTTTTTCGCTTTGGCTTAACTTAGTTAACTAAGATTATTATAATTGTATACTATCTATCCGCTTCCTCTTAGTATCGCATGGTACTGTATATTGATACTCTTAAAAATATTTTATTGATGAAAACTGCATAAGAATCAGTTGCATAATTTAAAATATCCCAGCATACAGACAGCAGATTTTTTTTTATAGATCAAACTACATCACTCTGATTGCCTAATTAAAAAGAAAATAAACAATAATACAACACAACACACGAGTTATGCCAAGCGGAAATTTAAAAAAGAATTCTATACACCAAATTAAACAAAGGTTACAACTAGAATTCAAGTTTGAGACTGTGAAAAATCTTGCTTTAAGTTGTAAAGTAATGACTTAGATACTAGGCATTAAAGACCACATCCTACAAATTTAACAACTACCTACAAAATGTTACTGTAAAAGCAAAACTATTTTAGTCACAAAACTACTAACAATTGTATCTTGAGAAGAAGTTATTACTTAAGCACATATTTTTATCCAATTAGATGAGAATTTTAATGACATAAAAACTGTTAATGACTAATAATTATAGTATTTTAACTAATAATATTTCTTCAATCAAATTCTTGTTAATTTAAAGTAATAACTTGAGTTATAAAAATAACTTGAGTAATTGCTTCTCTTGACTATAGACACAAATTTCTCAATTTTTATTAAGAATTCAGGATTCAATCATTATGAATGTGTGCACTAATATTTTTTTTGAGAGTGCAAAAATTAAACATTGTTTGTTATAAAAAATATATTTTATAATACCTGCTAAGACCTGGCATCTTTGTATCACCTGAGATTGAAATAATGTGTAAAAATTTAAAAAATATATTTCCTTAATGTACCCTAACAGATATGAACAGTGTGTATAAAAATAAAATTGGTGCTTTTTCATTTTAAACAATGTTGTCTTTCTTTATTTCTTTGCATTTAAATTTTTTTAAACTTTTTTGAACTATTTTTTTTTTAATCAGTATTAGCCATATTGAGTTTTATTAAGCCTAATAAAATATATTTTTATAAAACATATTTGTTATTACATACCCATCCAAGCTCTTGCATGGTCTCACATTTGCATACAGATCAAATTCCTTCCTTAGGGCCAAGTTAAGGGATCTGTAACCCTTACCCACAGGAGTCATTAGGGGACCCTTTAAGCCTATTTTGTTAGCATTCACTGAGTCTATAGCTTTTTGGGGAATGCCAAACTTGCCATCTGGACCCTAAAATGATTCAACGGATTAATTAATATAAATATGGGAAATATTAAATAAAAAAAAATTATTTGATGTCAAATGAAGATCAAAATGTATAATTTAATGTGAATTTAGCAAATTTATTGGTTATATTAAGTTAGTAAGCTATTGTTTAATACTACCCTTGATGTTTTTTAGGACATTGTGACATATAATTAGTTAAAAGTTTATTCCTAGTTTAGATAATATAAAAAAGCTATTTATTATTTATAAAATTACATTTACATTACAAAAAGACACAACAACTATGTAGCAATGAAAAAGATAGAATGTCATATAATTCATTGAACATGAATCAAAACAGAATAATCTTTTTAATAAATAACTATAGTAGTATCAGGGACTTACCCTAACAGCTGTGACGTCCACTTCATCCCATTCAATAGGCACTTTAGCAGCTTCAAAGATTTTTTGCACCGCAACAGTAATTTCAGGCCCGATGCCGTGGCCAGGAATTAGTGTCACCTTTCGCACTCCAGTGCTGTATTGAGCAACACCATTCCGAGTCGCCGGAGCCTTGCAAAAAAAAACAAAAAATCAACTACATATAACCTCAAACTAGGACACAAAAAAAGCTACCAAAAATTATGTCAACCTTATTTTCCCCGTCCCAAACACCTGCAGTATCAACACTTCCAGCAGGCTTTAACCACCTTAGGAACCCACCAACTACTTTACTCTCACGAAGAGGCTTCAAAAGCTCTTTTATGTAATTCCTAGACATAACTATAGTACGTCTATTTTTGGATTACGGGAATAATAAGTGTAATTCTTATGAAGGAAAAAATGAAAAAATCACATGCAACGGGCAACTACACACGTACTACGTTATGCTGATTTACAAACTTACGATTTTGCTGATAAATCTTGCTGCCATTTCTTTAAATTTTTGTAACACGACGACGACGATAATCCCGCGGTGAGGGGCGGAATGGGGAAGAGGGGAGGGGCGAAGGATGTTGCGGATATCACTACGACGCATGACCGGAACTATGTTTAAAGTTTTTTTAAAGTGTTTTTATTAAATGGAACATAATTTAGTAAAGGAAAAAAAAATTCCAAACTATATTAGGATAAGTTTTTTTAGTGACAATTTTTTTTCCGTATGGTCAAAAAAATAGTCATACTATCGCAGTCTTTTTGTCATAGACTAAGAGCAAAACTTGCTAAAGAACAAAACAAAAAACATTTATAACAAAAAATATACTGAGTTCTCTATGTTCTCAATACAATAACTACGCTAAGTAGGCACTATGTATTAGATCCGTATGCTTTTTATAGACAACAAACATCAACTGTCAAGTAGCGATTATCTCTTTGGTTGTGACTTAGACTGATTATCGATTATTAAAAAATCGGTATTTTTAAATCATGAAAGACTAAATAGTCATTTTAGTTTAAATAAACGATTTTACCAAAACAGTGAAATAAATTCATATAAACATCTGATATATGATTGTTCATATTATTAATTATTTAAACTTAATCATCAACACAAGTAATAATTTTTAAAGTATTCGGTCCTTTGGTAATTGAAATGGCTAGAGATAGGAGTGGGATGAGGGAAAGGCAGTATATTTGGAGTGTAGTGGGTGTGTAGTGGTAATATCATCGCGGAGCGCATGAGCAACGTTTTTGATTAATTTCCGAATTTAGTCTGGTAATATTTGAAGTGTGCAAAATCATTAACGTTAACTATGTAGTATTCAGTTTTTAAACTTAAAATTGTGTTTAAATGTTTTGCGTGCACATAACTAAAACAAGATATATTATAATAATAAACAATTCATTTACAAGACAATCTTTAAAAAATATTGATTTTCATGCTAACGATAGCATGTTATGTTATTATATCAATGAGAAAGTATTAAAAAAAAATTGTTCCCGAAATCAAACTAGATGTCGCTACGGTATTTTCTTGATTTCTCCATGACAACTCTTCCGGTTTTCTTTCATGTATAAAAGAAAATTAATTTTCAAAACTCAATAAACAACTCATATTCTATTTGTACTTTTTCGTATTGATATGGAGGTGCTTTTTAGTGCTTTCGTTTTTTTTTAAATACTTCCTCATTGTATACATGACGACGAATAGCATCAGCGTTAAAACTGTCAACTGCTGTCACTTTAAAAGTTTGGCGTTTTTTTTTTGGTGTAGAAAGATTGTTTTCTGCCATGCCACAACTGCCGTAGCCTTCTTTAGTTATTTTCTTCACTGTTGTAAGACAGCTGCTGCAACACGGTCTCTGACATGCTCTACTGGTCCACCCCTTGGGTCCACCATTATGACTTCTTTTTGTATAAAGGTATTATGGCTCTGACTACTCGGACTTTTGAGCCTGTCTTTCGTATTTTTATTTCATTTCCCATCTCTTTTGCTAAGCCTTTCTTCAACTTTAAAATCACTTCTTCTTAGTCACTCTAAAAAATCCTGGCCTGCCTAATCGATGTTTCAAGATAATAAAATAAACCCACAAATTGATTAGTAATCAAAACTGTAATTATTAATTCTATACGATTTCTTTCGATTAATCAATTTGTAGCGAAAACATTCGATTCACCACTAGTTGCCATAGTACGTAACTGTTTTTTTAAGCAAATGAATTTTCAAGCAAATCAAATTTGCAACATACAAAAGAACTTGTTTTCTCTTCGAATTCGACAATAGACATAACGTATTATATTTGACAAAACAGGTACCAATTATGCATTATATAGAAACAAATGTTTAGCTGGACGTGCGTGTATGTCTGTGGGCTATCTATGCAATATGCATATTACTTTGGCTTCAATATGACATTTTCTGTAGTTTTAATTTCGTGTCATGGTTTATTGCAAATTTTTTGGGATGGTTCTTGTGGTGATATAAACTCTTTGGTTTATACCAAAAAGTAGCTTTGACCAAAGGAAACTATATCTATTCTATCATCAATTGTCATGTAAAGTTTTTGTTGAATAAAGCCTATTAATTTCTCAGTTTATTTAATAATCTATAAAGGTTTATTCTACTACAATTTATTCAACAAAACTAAATGAATAAATATCTACGACCAGAAAGATTTGACGGAGATCCGTCCTCTAGTGAAGATCAGTCCCCTCAGTGGACGCATTGGAAAAACACATTTGAAAATTTTTTGACATCCATCTCTACCAAAGAAAAACCACTAGATAAAGAAACGAAATTTCAGCTATTGACAAATCATTTATCTCCTACATTATTTGCATATCTACAAGATTCAACTGACTATGACTCGGCCATCTATCATCTCAACACATTATTCTTGAAGCCATCTAACGAGGTTTACTCCCGATACAAATTAGCCAAACGTTCTCAACAAAGTGGTGAGTCCGTAGATCAATATTTACAAGCCCTGAAACTACTTTCGAAAGATTGCAATTTCAAACAAGTATCTGCTGAGCAAAATAAAAATGAATTTATTAGAGATGCATTCATATCCGGTCTCTCATCGCCCTCAGTCCGTCAGAGACTTTTGGAAAATAGCACACTGACTTTGGACGATGCTTTTAAACAAGCACGTGCTCTAGAGATGACACGTATACATAATAATGATTACCAACAACCTAGTACTAGTTTCTCAGTCAACGCAACGTCAAACTTTAATCAAGAACAAGAACTTTGTTATTTTTGTGGAAATAAGAGACACGCACGACGCAACTGCCCTGCTTCCAGCTCAACATGTCTCAAATGCGGAAAAAGAGGACATTTTGCAAAAGTGTGCAAAGGTGGCGCAAAATTTCATCAGAAAGCGTTCGCCGCCCAAAATGATACTCATGAAGCTGAGAAAGCAGGATGTCCGCAATCACTTTCGTGTATTATCGCTGCTACAACTGATCTAAGCAAAGCTATAGTATCGATCATGATTAATGGATTATTTACCACTAAAGCATTAATTGACACCGGGAGCACAAGTAGTTTCATTGATAAGCGTCTAGTAGAACAATACAAAATAGCAACTCAACGTTGCGTCCAGCACATCAGCATGGCAGTTTCGAATTTAAAAACAAGAATAGACTCGTCATGTTCAGTCAACATAGATTTACAAGGACATAAATTTGAAGTTAATCTGTTAATAATGGAAAATTTATGCGCAGATGTAATAATTGGACATGATGTTCTTAAGAAATATAAGACACTAGAAATGTTTTTCGGTGGCTCCAAAGCTGCTTTAAAATTATGTGCCCTAACTTGCGCTAATATCGACCCAGTCTGCCTATTTCCAAATCTTTCGTCCGACTGCAAACCGATCGCAGTTAAGTCACGAAGATTCTCAGAGAGTGATATGATATTCATCAGCAATGAGATAAAGAAGCTACTCGCTGACGGAATAATAGAATCTAGTTCATCTCCGTGGAGGGCACAAGTGCTAGTAACAAGTAATGAAAACCATAAAAGAAGGATGTGTGTAGATTATTCGCAGACTGTGAACAAGTTTACACAACTTGATGCTTATCCGCTGCCATGTATTGAAGATGTGGTAGCTAAAGTTGCGAAATACAGGGTTTATAGCAAAATTGATCTGAAAAGTGCTTACCATCAGATTCCAATTCTAAGCAAAGAAAAAGTGTATACTGCATTTGAGGCGGAAGGAAATTTATACCAGTTTTGCAGGATTCCGTTTGGTGTAACGAATAGAGTAGCTGCATTCCAGCGGGCGGTGAATAATATCATCAAAAAAGAGGGTTTACTAGGAGTATATGCATATTTAGACGATATTACCGTATGTGGAAAGGATCAAATGGATCACGATAGTAAATTGCAGCATTTCCTTGATGTAGCTAAACGATATAATCTTACACTTAATTTTGATAAAAGTCAGTTTTCTCTTGAAGAAATAAGTATTTTGGGCTATAATATATGCCGTGGAGTAATCAGACCCGACCCAGAACGTCTTCGTCCCCTATTGAATTTGCCACTGCCCTCAGATGCTGCATCTCTTCGCCGAGCACTGGGATTGTTCGCTCACTATTCCAAATGGTTGCCAAAGTTTTCTCATAAAATACAGCCTCTTATTTCTCAAGAATCGTTTCCGTTGGACTCAGAAGCTAAAAAGGCATTTGAAACATTAAAAAACGAAATAGCCTCGTCAGCAGTGAACGCGATTGACGACAAAATACCGTTTGTAGTCGAAACAGACGCTTCAGACTATGCTATCGCAGGTACATTGTCACAAGAATGGTATGCCACCCTGGAGTTACCTGTGGCATTTTTTTCGAGAAGTCTTCATACTAGTGAACGAAATCATTCGGCTATCGAGAAGGAAGCCGCAGCTATCGTAGAATGTCTTAGAAAATGAAGACAGTTCCTTATTGGAAGATCTTTCAAACTAATAACTGATCAGAAGTCGATCTCATTCATGTTTGATCAAAAACATTCGTCAAAAATTAAGAACGATAAAATACAACGCTGGCGCCTAGAACTGTCCGTCTATAATTTTGATATAGTTTATCGCCCTGGAAAAGATAATGTAGCAGCTGATGCGTTATCACGGGTTAACACTGCGATTGTCGCTTCTGCAAGTCCTTCGAAAACTGTACTAAAGGAACTCCATAACACTTTATGCCACCCTGGAGTTACAAGAATGTTTCACTGGGTCAAGAGCAAAAATCTTGCCTACTCTTTAGATGAAATAAAAAATATCACTTCAAACTGTCCAATATGCTCGGAAGTAAAACCTCGTTTTCAACAAAAAGTTGGAACACTTATAGAAGCAACGGCTCCATTTGAAAGATTATCTATCGATTTTAAAGGTCCACTACCAACAGAAGGCTCTAGAACGAATCGATACATACTGACTATTGTTGATGAGTACTCCCGTTTTCCTTTCGCATATCCGTGTTCTGATTTAACCACAAACACAGTAATTGATAAACTGACTGATCTGTTTTCTGTTTTCGGGATGCCAACTTATATTCACTCGGACCGAGGCACCTCATTCTTATCGAAAGAAATGAAAGACTTCTTACATCAGAAGGGTATTGCAACGAGCTATACGACGCCATATAATCCTCAGGGCAATGGACAGACAGAGAGATATAACGGCATAATATGGAAAACTATCCAGTTGGCTCTAAAAACTCATAATTTACCATCAACGAAATGGGAGGTGGTCTTAGCCCAGTCGTTACATTCGATTCGGTCTCTTCTATGCACAGTCATCAATTGCACTCCACACGAGAGAATGTTCTCACACCCGAGAAGGTCCTCGAATGGCCAATCAATGCCTTCTTGGCTAACAGTTGGGAATAAGGCATTGATGCGAAAATTTGATAGAAATAGCAAATATGATTCATTAATCGAGGATGTTGAGGTGCTCGAAACAAATCCACAACACTCGCGTGTAAGGCTAAACGGAGGAAGAGAGCTTGTGATCTCGAATCGACATTTAGCCCCTCCAGGGACATGCCCTAGCGACTCAGACGGGGAAAATCCTTCATGTGATGATGATGATGATAACTTTGTCGACGCCATAGACCATAATGAGCAGCATGATTCCCAGGAAAGGACTTTTCGAAACATCGAGCCTGACGATCTAAGGAGGTCTAAAAGAAATCGACGCTCGCCTGCATATTTAGCTGACTATGTCGTTCAATAAAGAAGCGCAGGAGAATGTGGTGATATAAACTCTTTGGTTTATACCAAAAAGTAGCTTTGACCAAAGGAAACTATATCTATTCTGTCATCAATTGTCATGTAAAGTTTTTGTTGAGTAAAGCCTATTAATTTCTCAGTTTATTTAATAATCTATAAAGGTTTATTCTACTACAGTTCTAGTCATAAAACATAGTATGCATTCTGGCTTCGATAATGATCGAAGCATTCTGGTTTTATATTTTTTGTTTATTTTCTAACCTCCCTATCTAAAATTGTTACTTTACTCTTTGTTTGCCAATTGGCTTGGCCCAAAGGTCATATAAAGCTGCAGTTACATAATATCAGCAACTCTAAGTGTATTTATTGTAACAATTTAAATCATTTATTATTGAAATGCCCACAGCAAGACTTTAAAATTCATAGACTGATTTTAGCGACTGAGATAACAAATCTAAATAGTGACAGTGACAGTGATGTTCTTGACAATAACAGTGAAGGTTTACATACGCTCCTCAGTGATACAAGATGCTATAAAGCATTATATGATTATATACAAAATACTTATTGAACTATTTAGTGCATGGGTTTATCTTTCCTCGTTTTATAATGAATTGATTGTCAGATAATAAGTTTAGCAAAAAGGGCAAGAATCCGGTGCCGTTAAAACTATAAAAAAAAACAGAAACCGTATTATTACTGTACTCTTTGCTATATACTACATACCTACAATCACCTACTATATACTTCTTTATCAGGAGAAACATATGAAAGATGTACCATATAATTATAAACCAACGTTATTATCGTTACATGTAACATAATAAATAAACTTAATTCAGAAAGTAATAAAATGAGAAAGTGGAATTGAAACAATAGATGTGAATTTTTCAAAACATGGAGCACCCTCTTTTACTGAAATTAGCATCTCTCAGTCTTATTTCACAATGCAAATTACAAAGTATTCTTACGTTATGTGGCGATAAAAAGGATTTAATTATAGATTCATCTTTAATCAAGCCACTAGAGAGAATTTGTGGTGTGTCTTGGCTAAGGTTGGTTTTATATAAATTTTTTGTTGTTACATACTAGACGAATTTATATTTCTCTAATTACTTTAAAATTTTTCGTTACCTAATTTAAAAATATACATTCGATTTATTTATTATCTTACAGACAACATGGTATTGATAAAATTTATAAAATGGATCCACAACTTGGCTCAACTGCGAATGTAAACAGAGTTTATTTTATACCAGCATGTATTCAGAAGTACAGATGTGTCTTGGATCAGATATTATCTATGTTGAGCCTGAATTCTGCATTGGGTGACCTCAAATGTTTTCACATAATAATTGCTCCTAAATTACTAGACTCGTATAAATCAATACTAGAAAGCAGAGGGTTATATGATATTGTCAACTTGCACTCATTTTCGTGGGAGTTGATGACATTGGATGAGCAGTTACTTAGTCTGGAACTGCCATTTTTATATAAGCAGTTGTTTGTTGAACACAACCAGTCTTTGTTGTCGAGTGTTGCAATGTCACTTTGGAGTTTATTTCATGTAACCGGTAGACCAAAAGTTTTGTTTTCAGTGGGTAAGATGTCTGCAAGTGTGTTAGATATGCTAGAAGTATACAATGAGACATATGATAGAGATTCCCTTGGTTCAGATCCAATTGAAGAAATTGGTGGTTTGATATTAATAGACAGAAACCAAGATTACCCTGCTAGTCTACTCACTCCAGCTACATATAGTGGCTTGCTCAGTGAAATATTTGATATAAATTGTGGTCATCTAGACTTAAATGTCAAAGAGACAAAATATAAAAAAGGCAAGTTAGATTTTGGACTTGAAGAGAAAAAGGTAGCTGATAAAAATGCAGTCATGACATTGGACAGTTCAATTGATAATTTATATGGTGAAATAAAACATAGACATTTCTCTGAAGTACTTAGTGTGTTGAGTTCTAAAGCTAAGTTGTTAAAAAATGAAGATATCAAAGCTTTGGGTATACAAGAGATGAAACATTATGTGGCCACAAAGCTGCAACAAGTTACACTATACAAGCAAAACTTAGTTAACCATGTATTAGCATGTGAAACAATAATATCAGAGATGAGTAACAAATTTGAAAATTTAAAAAATACTGAAAATGATATGCTGAATAATCAGAATAAGAAATCAAACTTCAACTTTGTTGATGAGCACTTTGGTACTGATATTCATATTTATAATAGTTTACGACTTATGTGTTTGCTTAGTTTGACACAAGGGTTGTCTTATGAAGAATATAATACTTTGGTGAGCAAATATGTACTAGCATTTGGATACAAGTTTCTGTATGTATTTAATAATTTGGTTAATGCAGGGTTATTAGTACAACCTTCTAGTGTTAAGCTATCTTTAAATATTTCTACTTTAGGCAACCTGAGTGACAGACTACCCAAATGGCAGAGTGGCTTTCAGGCAACTGCAAACAAGTTAAAACAATTACCATCACAGCCTGAAAAAGTTGGGAGTTCATCACCTAGCTATGTTTTTAACGGTGGCTATGTGCCTTTGGTTGCAGTAATCTGTAATGTCATTTTAACATCTGAAACTCTTACGGATGTGCTGGCAAAACTCTCTGCTTTGAATGATTTTAAGATAGGTGGTAGTATAGCTTCCATGTTGAAAGATGGAATGGAAACACTAAATGAAAAGTTGTCTAATATGAAACTTCAAACTGATCTAGAATTTGGGTGTAAAGATGTTAGAAGTTTATCTAAAGTAATGAAGACTGATCCCAATTTTGGGAATGTTTTTCCATTGAAACCTAAAAGTGTGTTGGTGTATGTGGTGGGTGGTGTAAACTATGCTGAGATTGCAGCATGTGATGTCATACAGAAAACTACATGCAGTAAGATTTATATTGCTAGTGATTGTGTAATGAATGGTGGAGATCTCATATCTTCCAACATTTGATTCATTATTATAAGTTTAATTTCATAAAACTTGATTACATTAGTTACAAGTTTAGTATATTGTAGATGTATGTTACACTCAAAGATTGAAATCACTACAACGCACGAGCCGAGAAGTCAAAGCATACGTGCCGCGGTAGAGGCTCGCGAAGTGCCGGAAGCATTAACTAGCTTTTTCATTTCCCATTGGGCTATTGGGAAATGAAAAAGCTAGTTAAACAAATTAATGCTTAGAACGCGTCGTGGCTTTTCTTCATTGCCATAACGCGCTGAGGTCGTATACCAGGTCAGTCCGACACTGATTTTACAACGCGCCGTGAACATTTACATTAGGGCCATAACATGAATTTCGCTTTGTGGTTTTTCTGCGATTGCCACAATGCGTTGTGAACTATTTTTTCGCTTAATGAGCGATTTCGATCTTCGAACGTAACATATGTCGCAGCCAAATGGTATAATCAGCCGACCAATTGAGCTAACCCTTAAATTGAATGGTGACAGTCTATTCGTTTACTCCACTTTCGATCAGCCGAGTAGCTGAACACAACTTTCTTCAATTCACCTGAATAAAGGTCAGCCAACTAATTCACTGGCAATTAATTGAGAATACCTAAACTTATTGGTATAGATATTGAAATGAATCAATATCGGCTGTTTTAACCAGTTGCCTCATTTTAAAATAATGTAAACTCTCAATACAGAAATTATAAATATGTATCTCTAATTCAGAATTTGCTGTCAAAATGACAGTAATACATTGTTTTATCTATATTTATTTATAAATAACATAACATTTATTATTTACAAATAATTTGTTATTAGGAAAAATAATAATTTATTTTTTTATATTATGTTTTGTCAGCTGAAGAAATATATTAATAAAATATACTATTAAAATATAACTTTTATTTATCATCAGTTACTTACATTACAATATATAACTAATATATCACAGTGCAAGATTTATATGTAACAAACAAAAGATTGTCAATAGGGAATATGCCTCCGATTAAAAAATGGTTAAATATATTTTATTACGATTATTATTGCTTCAGAATAAAGTCTATTTAAATATTTTTCAACATTATTTCGTTCTCGTCTTGAAAATAGTTGTTGAAATGCACCAAAAATCCTTTACTCTTAACACATAAAAAATAGAATCATCCGATTTGGTGCAGTCGGAACTGTAATTCTGAAGTTATGCGCGTACATAAGTTTGCGCGATTCATTTTTATTTATCGATATTTAATAGCTTGCCCGGAGACTTTTATTTTTCGATAGCACATTAGTTATTCATATTTTTGATATAGTGTAAAAGGTAATTTTACACTAATATCTAACGTAGTATCTAACTTATTTATTCGAATAAGGATCAATACTGTATAGTTAAAAGTAGGTTCGTAAATAACCCATCGTTTTTCGGTTTCAAGTAAACGTAAAAAAATGATTATTGTGGGTTATCTTTGGGAGATGGACATATACCAACCCGGACTTTTTTGTAGATCTATTAAAGAGGTAAAATTCCACCATACATTGTTTTGTTATAACTCAAAAGTTTTTGGCTGGGTTTTCGAGGAAAGCTCCCGATTGGCTTTATTATTTCCGACATATTAAACTAATATCATAATATCGTCAGTTTAAACAGAATCTAAACTCACTATACACTTAAACCTTTCTCAATAATTGCTCTATCTATTGTTGAAAACCGCATGAAAATCTGTCTAGTACTTTTTCGAGTTTATCGCGAACAGACAGACGTGAGCGGCGGGGGATTTTGTTTTATAATATGTAGTGATTTTTGTTACTGAGTTTTACTTTTTCGGTATTTTTACAGGTATATAACGATATGGACAACCATATAATTTATTTTTAAAAGTGCATATTCCCTATTCCACATTAAATCAATTTAATATTGGGCGTTATGACTTTATTCCACTTGTGTTAAGAAAAAAATATTTTCAATTGCATAAAGGGAGGAATATATTGGGTCTATTTGCTGCAGACGAAAACTATCTTCGTGTCTTACTCAAAATATAACAGATTCCAGACAGTAAAATAACAAAGCAAACATGATTTTGATACACTAATATCTATCAATGTGTCTGAATACAATGCTTTCATCATCTTTGCATGGGCTAAATCACCAACCCAAGATCACAGGTCTCACTTTGTTTTGACTAATTTGCAGCTCAATTAAAATATCTTAGCAGGTCTTCGATCTTCATTTATAAACATATTACAATGACACTAAAGCAGGTAAAACATCTGAAAGACATGAACAGAATAGCACTATTCCTTTGTCGTCATAATGTTTTTGTTTTTCCTTTTTAAGAAATTATGAACTCTAACACATTGAAATATAGTCGTTATTTACGCCAGTACTGTGCGAACTTGTGGAAATGTTCCACTAACACAGCCATCACTGCAGTGACGGACATGTCCAGCAGGTTCTGGAGATAGTGGACTGCTTCTTCATCGCCGAGATCGAGCCTGAAAACGACAATTGTTATTTAATTAAACAGCTTTTTTAAAGTTATTTTATTAAATAGTAGCTGTTTTCCGAGACACTTCGCTTGCCGTAGATGAAAGGATTTAAAAAAGTTTAATAATTTCAGAATCTATATAATACAAACAAACAAACTTCATTGAAATTTCCTAAAAATGTCACGCTGATACTTAAAGGTTCGCCACCCCTGTCACGGAATATCAAAACAGTATTGCTATCAGCAAGTATGTGCCTACCTCAATTTATCTTGCACTTTCTTCACAGCCTTATCTGGTTCGAGCGCTATATCTGGGACCGATGCGTCTACCATCAGGGAGAAAAGATTCAGCATCAGGTTGGCATGTCTGCGAAAATGTATTTAATAAACGCGTGAATATTATATGATATATATTAAACATTTTCAGTAACGTCAGACTAATCAATCGTATTTCAATATGTCGCTAACATTATTCGAAGCAGAACTTATTTTACTGATAATAAAAATATTTTTAGTGTGGTTTTTATCTTATCGTCAAATTCTAATGCTAACGCCATCTATTCGGTAGCAACTAAACCCGTGTCGTTTCAGCTAAAGCCACGTGCGTTAATAAATCCAATCATTCAAAATTGTTGTAATCGAACCTGTACTTTATGATGGTATATCTCGAGCAGCGCTTTTCAAACATTGCATAGATGAAGCGAGTGCAAATCGGGGAACTCTTATCGGGGTCTTTTAATGGCATAGATTTATTATGTAAAACTAGTAAATATACGATCAACTATTGCTAATCGATTAATGTTTGTTATGTGATTCCTTTTAATTCATTCTCACAGAATGTAACAGTTTGTTGACGAAATACCCTCTTCGATTCAGTTAAAATAAAAAAATCACTTTGGGGCTGTCCATTAATCACGTGAGGCTCGAAAGGGGGGGGAGGGGTCCATAAAAAAGTCACAAAATATCACGAGGGGGGAGGGGGGGGGGGGTGAATTAACATATCACGTGTATTTATTTTTTCGACAAACGCGCGATACTCAACCGAAAAGCGGTGTAAATAAGTGTAATAAAATTATTTTTTCGTCAAACGTTCATTAAATAATAATATTCATAAAGTTTTTCGCATTCCTTTCATTATTTTTGTCAATCAAAAACAACCTGCAAGTCCTGTAATCTTTCTGTCTACCTCTAGATGTTGTTGTACTCTTTAATTGTCTATAATACAATTAGAAAATTAAGATTCATTGTAAGTACTAAAAATACACGTGATAAATGGGGAGGGGAGGGGGGTGGGGTTAGTCTTAAACCTCACCATGTATCACTATGGGGGAGGGGAGGTCAAAAAATGCCAAAAAAAACATCACGTGATTAATGGACGGCCCCTTTCCGACACATGAAAGATTATAAAAATACAAATTTTCGCAACGCTATAAGGTCGGTTCGGTACGAGGAGCCGACTGACCGCCGCAGGTGCAGGAAGGCGGTGTAGCACTGTTTCCTGAACTCGTGGTAGTGGTCGGAGTGCACGCCGCCCATGGCCTCCACCATCTCCTTGCTGAGCTTCATGGGCGGCGGCAGCGGCTTGGGGTCGCGGCCCAGGATGTAGCCGAAGTCGATGTGGAACAGCGCGCCGCCGCGCGTCAGCAGCAGGTTGTCCAGGTGGCGGTCGCCCACGCCTGCCACCGGACACACGACATTATTTCTTCCGCAAACCACACGCTTTTACCCCTTTTGACGGACGGAGCTGTTCGCGAGTTGGGTAACGGAACAGGGATTCTCGTAACAGACTTGTTTTATCTACACTCGAATCGAAAAAAAACGAATTACGAATTCAAAGACGATTCTATACATACGCACTTTATAAATGCATATACATAAAATTAAAACTCATTATAGTACCGCCAACTGTATAATTAAAACTCATTATAGTACCGCTATCTGTTTTTATTTTTTTCGTTTCATTAAACTACTCTATGGTTTTAGGCTGAATATGAAAAAAAAAATGGCGCACGCATGCGTAGTTTGAACTTAATTTCCCGCGCTTCCCATACATTCTTTTGCCGATCGTGTTTTTGTATTCGGGATTCCAATAACTTACTTTCTTGTAACCTACCTACTTTGTTTAATTTTAAATTAAGTAGTGTATGAAACTGCATATAACTTAGGTTTTAAAACACTTGAGTTAACCTATTAACGCATACAACGATAAACAGACTCTCGTGTTTTAATACTCCTTCTTATATGACAGTTGCATAAACTACTATTTTTTTTAATATGCTACACGATATATTTTGTAAACCTATTTTTGATATCGTCATCTTTTATTTGCACGGGGTTTTGTGTTAAAATTTCAAATCGATTGATCGACCATTTTTTACACGAATCACCACTTTTCGAACAGTAACTCGATCAAATATATAAACTTACCGAGTAAATAAGTAATGACGCAGTATCCAGCACAGCTCCTTATATACGTATCCATGGTCTCGGGCTTGATGCCGTAAGGTGCACCTTCGCACGGATTATGTTTCCTGAAGAAGTTCTGTATGCTGCCTTCTGTAGCCAACGCTTCGGCCACAGTCACGGACTCTATGAACTGTAGGAAGCCATGTTTCGAACTCGTCGCTAGTACTTTATACGGGGTCAGTTTCAAATCGAGATTCTCCCGTCGCAGCAATTTGTCCATTAACGTTATCATCTGAAGGATCAATTGATCTTGGCGTAGATCATCGCCGTGCTTGAAAATAGCTTCGTATTCCATGCCTTCCGTAGTTAAGAAAGTCAGTTTTGAGGGCATAAGAGCCGATTTGAAGAGGCTAGCTTTCTTAGCTACTATCCCCTTGATGGTAACGTTAGGGTCTAGGGGGAAAGGCATAGGTTCGAAGTTTGCGAAGTTGAATTTGAACGCGTCGGGATCTGCGAGTAGCTGTTGGAGACGCTCCGCCTTCTTGTTGCGGTTGCCGCTCTCGCGGGTGACAGTTTTGACGAGTTTAACCAGTTTGTCTATGAACACTTGTTGACGGGCCAAGAACGAACGCGTCCGTTGGAGGTCGGCGTTACCTGAAAATTGTGTGGTTTACGATATCTGTTTCTTTTATTTATATCTGTATATAATTTATGGTAATCACATATGATTTTAATAATAAACTTAAATTGACATAAAAAGAGTACATATGGTACTATGAACTACCCTCAAAAGGTGACAGCACACTTGCACGGCACGGCGCTAACAAAGAGCATGAAATTGATTGGCTTATATTTTATAAAAACGCTAAACAAAACCCAACGTTCAATTGTTTGTTCGCACATCGCGCCCGCCACTCTGGTACATTCCCGGAGCAATAACTGTATATCGAATTATTCCTTCAAATAATGACGAGACAAAAATTATACAGCAGCAGTTCTAAGTAAAACTTTTTCTTTCAAAATTTTTATGGATATATAATTCAAAATATTTTATATTATATATGATTATTAAAAGGTGAAAAATCACATCGACATAAATTCACAAATAAAAAAGTTATATCAAACTTGCGTATGGGATAAAAATAGCACAGCGGCTTTCTAGTGTTCAACAACAACTACAAACGTTTTAACTAGTGAATTCGCGGAAACCGACTGATATTTTTTTAATGTGTGGGTGAATATTATTTTATTTCATTTTTTTTGTACAATTTGATAAAATTGACATGATTAATAACGTTTTGACACAATTGTAATATTTGATTAAATACTATTGTTAAATTTGACACAATTTTATGTAATTATGAAATATTTTAAGTTTCATCAATTTTATTATTATTATTAGGTATTATTATAATTATTTTTTGCATGCTGTTCAAAATGGCTAAATAGGTCAAAGCTCTTAAACTGAAATATCACAACTGTATATATAACCCTATTTATTGCAAATAAAGATATTATTATTATTATTATTAATAAAAATTTAATATCCCTGTGCTTCAAAAGCTATGTTAAGTCGTCAGTCTATTCTGCATTTGCAGGACCATGACTAACACCCACTAATTCGTATAGGGCCCGCGTCTGGGTAAAAGCCCGTTCTCTCTAATAAGCTCCCGAGTTCATTTGAGCGATTTAAAAATTATTTCACCTACGGGAGGCTGCACCATAAGCAGAAAGTCTTAGGAAAATAGATCTCAAATCAAAAAAAGAGAAGGTAGTATGCAAAACACATACCGTGCGCGAGTTGATGCGAGTAGGTGCGCATGACGCGCAGGTACATGTGCCGGTGGTCGTGCGCGGGCGCGTCCTCGCACTCCACCAGCAGGTACCAGTACAGGTAGTTGCCGACCACGCTGTTGCCGCACGCGCGACCTATCAGGAACCCGGCCAGCGACAGCTCATCCTCACACACCTCCATACTACTGACACACACGCACACGTATAACACTCCACCAGCGGGTACCAGTACAGGTAGTTGCCGACCACGCTGTTGCCGCACGCGCGACCTATCAGGAACCCGGCCAGCGACAGCTCATCTTCACACACCTCCATACTACTGACACACACGCACACGTATAACACTCCACCAGCGGGTACCAGTACAGGTAGTTGCCGACCACGCTGTTGCCGCACGCGCGACCTATCAGGAACCCGGCCAGCGACAGCTCATCTTCACACACCTCCATACTACTGACACACACGCACACGTATAACACTCCACCAGCGGGTACCAGTACAGGTAGTTGCCGACCACGCTGTTGCCGCACGCGCGACCTATCAGGAACCCGGCCAGCGACAGCTCATCTTCACACACCTCCATACTACTGACACACACGCACACGTATAACACTCCACCAGCGGGTACCAGTACAGGTAGTTGCCGACCACGCTGTTGCCGCACGCGCGACCTATCAGGAACCCGGCCAGCGACAGCTCATCTTCACACACCTCCATACTACTGACACACACGCACACGTATAACACTCCACCAGCGGGTACCAGTACAGGTAGTTGCCGACCACGCTGTTGCCGCACGCGCGACCTATCAGGAACCCGGCCAGCGACAGCTCATCTTCACACACCTCCATACTACTGACACACACGCACACGTATAACACTCCACCAGCGGGTACCAGTACAGGTAGTTGCCGACCACGCTGTTGCCGCACGCGCGACCTATCAGGAACCCGGCCAGCGACAGCTCATCTTCACACACCTCCATACTACTGACACACACGCACACGTATAACACTCCACCAGCGGGTACCAGTACAGGTAGTTGCCGACCACGCTGTTGCCGCACGCGCGACCTATCAGGAACCCGGCCAGCGACAGCTCATCTTCACACACCTCCATACTACTGACACACACGCACACGTATAACACTCCACCAGCGGGTACCAGTACAGGTAGTTGCCGACCACGCTGTTGCCGCACGCGCGACCTATCAGGAACCCGGCCAGCGACAGCTCATCCTCACACACCTCCATACTACTGACACACACGCACACGTATAACACTCCACCAGCGGGTACCAGTACAGGTAGTTGCCGACCACGCTGTTGCCGCACGCGCGACCTATCAGGAACCCGGCCAGCGACAGCTCATCTTCACACACCTCCATACTACTGACACACACGCACACGTATAACACTCCACCAGCGGGTACCAGTACAGGTAGTTGCCGACCACGCTGTTGCCGCACGCGCGACCTATCAGGAACCCGGCCAGCGACAGCTCATCTTCACACACCTCCATACTACTGACACACACGCACACGTATAACACTCCACCAGCGGGTACCAGTACAGGTAGTTGCCGACCACGCTGTTGCCGCACGCGCGACCTATCAGGAACCCGGCCAGCGACAGCTCATCCTCACACACCTCCATACTACTGACACACACGCACACGTATAACACTCCACCAGCGGGTACCAGTACAGGTAGTTGCCGACCACGCTGTTGCCGCACGCGCGACCTATCAGGAACCCGGCCAGCGACAGCTCATCCTCACACACCTCCATACTACTGACACACACGCACACGTATAACACTCCACCAGCGGGTACCAGTACAGGTAGTTGCCGACCACGCTGTTGCCGCACGCGCGACCTATCAGGAACCCGGCCAGCGACAGCTCATCTTCACACACCTCCATACTACTGACACACACGCACACGTATAACACTCCACCAGCGGGTACCAGTACAGGTAGTTGCCGACCACGCTGTTGCCGCACGCGCGACCTATCAGGAACCCGGCCAGCGACAGCTCATCCTCACACACCTCCATACTACTGACACACACGCACACGTATAACACTCCACCAGCGGGTACCAGTACAGGTAGTTGCCGACCACGCTGTTGCCGCACGCGCGACCTATCAGGAACCCGGCCAGCGACAGCTCATCCTCACACACCTCCATACTACTGACACACACGCACACGTATAACACTCCACCAGCGGGTACCAGTACAGGTAGTTGCCGACCACGCTGTTGCCGCACGCGCGACCTATCAGGAACCCGGCCAGCGACAGCTCATCCTCACACACCTCCATACTACTGACACACACGCACACGTATAACACTCCACCAGCGGGTACCAGTACAGGTAGTTGCCGACCACGCTGTTGCCGCACGCGCGACCTATCAGGAACCCGGCCAGCGACAGCTCATCTTCACACACCTCCATACTACTGACACACACGCACACGTATAACACTCCACCAGCGGGTACCAGTACAGGTAGTTGCCGACCACGCTGTTGCCGCACGCGCGACCTATCAGGAACCCGGCCAGCGACAGCTCATCTTCACACACCTCCATACTACTGACACACACGCACACGTATAACACTCCACCAGCGGGTACCAGTACAGGTAGTTGCCGACCACGCTGTTGCCGCACGCGCGACCTATCAGGAACCCGGCCAGCGACAGCTCATCTTCACACACCTCCATACTACTGACACACACGCACACGTATAACACTCCACCAGCGGGTACCAGTACAGGTAGTTGCCGACCACGCTGTTGCCGCACGCGCGACCTATCAGGAACCCGGCCAGCGACAGCTCATCCTCACACACCTCCATACTACTGACACACACGCACACGTATAACACTCCACCAGCGGGTACCAGTACAGGTAGTTGCCGACCACGCTGTTGCCGCACGCGCGACCTATCAGGAACCCGGCCAGCGACAGCTCATCCTCACACACCTCCATACTACTGACACACACGCACACGTATAACACTCCACCAGCGGGTACCAGTACAGGTAGTTGCCGACCACGCTGTTGCCGCACGCGCGACCTATCAGGAACCCGGCCAGCGACAGCTCATCCTCACACACCTCCATACTACTGACACACACGCACACGTATAACACTCCACCAGCGGGTACCAGTACAGGTAGTTGCCGACCACGCTGTTGCCGCACGCGCGACCTATCAGGAACCCGGCCAGCGACAGCTCATCCTCACACACCTCCATACTACTGACACACACGCACACGTATAACACTCCACCAGCGGGTACCAGTACAGGTAGTTGCCGACCACGCTGTTGCCGCACGCGCGACCTATCAGGAACCCGGCCAGCGACAGCTCATCCTCACACACCTCCATACTACTGACACACACGCACACGTATAACACTCCACCAGCGGGTACCAGTACAGGTAGTTGCCGACCACGCTGTTGCCGCACGCGCGACCTATCAGGAACCCGGCCAGCGACAGCTCATCCTCACACACCTCCATACTACTGACACACACGCACACGTATAACACTCCACCAGCGGGTACCAGTACAGGTAGTTGCCGACCACGCTGTTGCCGCACGCGCGACCTATCAGGAACCCGGCCAGCGACAGCTCATCCTCACACACCTCCATACTACTGACACACACGCACACGTATAACACTCCACCAGCGGGTACCAGTACAGGTAGTTGCCGACCACGCTGTTGCCGCACGCGCGACCTATCAGGAACCCGGCCAGCGACAGCTCATCCTCACACACCTCCATACTACTGACACACACGCACACGTATAACACTCCACCAGCGGGTACCAGTACAGGTAGTTGCCGACCACGCTGTTGCCGCACGCGCGACCTATCAGGAACCCGGCCAGCGACAGCTCATCCTCACACACCTCCATACTACTGACACACACGCACACGTATAACACTCCACCAGCGGGTACCAGTACAGGTAGTTGCCGACCACGCTGTTGCCGCACGCGCGACCTATCAGGAACCCGGCCAGCGACAGCTCATCCTCACACACCTCCATACTACTGACACACACGCACACGTATAACACTCCACCAGCGGGTACCAGTACAGGTAGTTGCCGACCACGCTGTTGCCGCACGCGCGACCTATCAGGAACCCGGCCAGCGACAGCTCATCCTCACACACCTCCATACTACTGACACACACGCACACGTATAACACTCCACCAGCGGGTACCAGTACAGGTAGTTGCCGACCACGCTGTTGCCGCACGCGCGACCTATCAGGAACCCGGCCAGCGACAGCTCATCCTCACACACCTCCATACTACTGACACACACGCACACGTATAACACTCCACCAGCGGGTACCAGTACAGGTAGTTGCCGACCACGCTGTTGCCGCACGCGCGACCTATCAGGAACCCGGCCAGCGACAGCTCATCCTCACACACCTCCATACTACTGACACACACGCACACGTATAATTCGTGCGAATTCTCATCACACCTGAGGGCCTATTATATTTGCCCTCAAACGGAAATTCATCATGTATGTTAAAACATAATCGTCGTCTCAGAAACAAATTATTGTAATAAGTAAGAAGCATAGATGGGAGTTACACAGGATATGTAAACTTAGAATGGATACTCCTTCGATCATATAACTATAATTACAAGTATACGAGAGTTAATTAATAAAAAATAAAAAAAAATATGAAATGAACATCAACACATCAATAAATTTAAAATTCTAATCAATTTTAATACCGACGCAATTTTGAAGGCATATTCATATTAACATTTACATGGTCGAATCACTGTTTATCATTTATACCTGGACGGTAATGTATAAAAACAATCAACTTAAAAAAGTAACCATCCTTCGCTAAAAAAAATGCCAAGTAATACAAATGCTATTTCAAATCTACAATACTAATTTGCGCACTTAGTAGCCAGCTTGAGTGAGATTAATGTTTAATTTATAAAATAGATAAATTTAGTCTTTAATATTTAGTTCCAAATGAAGCAAAGTAAATAAAGAATGAACATTGTTTTTATAAAGTAAGGACAAAGATACCTGTATACGTTTCCATTGTCGGTGTCTGAGGGGGCGGTAATTTCCTCTGTGGCTGCTACAGACTCTTCAGGGCGCGCGTCGATCGACCGACGACTGGTGATCGAGCCGGTCATATCGCTAGTCGATAACACTGTAGTTACATCGACTTCATATTAACATAATCGATTATTGAAACATTTAAAAGCAATAATAATATAATAAGATACAATACAAAATAAAATATAATATAGTTCTTGATCAATAATACATCAAAAACTGCTTGAGCGCAATAAAAATTAATTTATACGGCTTAGACTGTTACAAGCACATTCGGTTCGCATATCTACGGCGGGAGACCTTGTACTGACAAGAACGGTCAAGAAACTCAGCAAGGGTAGCTTTTTTCCCCCATATTAAATTTTACGCTGAGAAGGTCAATTGAAAATTAAGTTCAATCAACAATGAAGTCACTTTCCTTACTATATTAATAATGACAAAAGTAGATACTTCTTTACGTAATTGATTAAGATGTCGCATCATATGATACTCAATACTCAATAACAAATAAGCAATATAAAAAAATAATGGAAATGGTCAAAATTACTAGACCACTTCCAGAGCCGATTCAACCCAATGAGGAAGTATTTTAAGAAAAAAAAAAGAAAGCACTAAAAAGCACATCACTATATGGCGACTCTACTAAAAGTTGATTTTTGCAGGAAACGAATGGACCAAAGATAGTCATTTCCGTTTCTTTTAACTCACATATAAAAAAAAATGAACTTTACAAAGTTCGAATTTAGATATCAATACAAATACGAAAAACTACAAATAGAATATGAGTTGTTTATTGAGTTTTGAAAATAAATATACTTTTATACAAGAAAGAAAACCGGAAGGATTGTCATGGAGAAATCAAGAGAATCTTGTTTGATTTCGGGACCTGTTTTTTTATTAAATATTTCTTCATTGGCAGCACGCATGAGCCAGTCATGGCTTCGTTCAAGCATATTTAATGTAACGTAACGACCCGACGACCGAGTACACATTTTGTACACTCATGTTTTTTCGCCGTGAAAATCTATGATTGATTCGCTATGCGCTGGTCGTCTGTTTGTGTTTAGTAGTAGCTTCTAGTCGAAAACGGCGCGGTATTATTAGTATATATTCAATAGAGTGAGAGTGAAGAGAGTGAGAGTGAAGAGAGTGAGAGTGAAGAGAGTGAGAGCGAAGAGAGTGAGAGTGAACAGAGTGAGAGTGAAGAAGGTGAATGTGAAAGTGGAGAGGGAGAGAGCAGCTGTTACCTGATGCGGACAGCAGGCTAGCGTGGCTGCCGCGTGAGCCGCGTGCGTCCTCCGGCCACGAAGGCGCATCTTTTCCACAAACGCGCGCGTACTCTGCGCCAAATGGTTATACTAAACTAGATATAACCAGATCACGGACTGAACTTCTCATGTCGTTGATGCCATTATATTTCCCATTCTCACTGAGTCTATCCCTTTTTTCATTAACCTCTTTTCCTCTCAATACATCCTCTCAAGCATTCTAGAAACTCTTACATTTTTCTGTAATTACTTTCAAGGGGAATGAAAGTAATTTAAAAAAAAATGCGAAGAGTGTATCATAATTCAGTTTTAATAAAAATAAGACTTATGCCCCAGCAAGTCCAGTCATAAAACGTATATCAGCGTCTTTTCAATTATCAGAACGATTCTCGTTGTGTTAAAACATACTCAATATTAGTACCACAAAGTGTCGATTCAAATTCTATGCACGCGCGTAATGCATCTGTGATAACTGTCTAGCTATCACGGTTCATGAGAAAGAACCTGGTGACAGACGAACGAACAGCGGAGTCAGTGGTCCAATCCGTGTCCAGTTTCTACCCTTTGGATACGGAATCCTAATAAATTAATACAAAAGTTTCGCATTTGGGTTTACTTTCGTGCCGTGTACCGTGAGTAGTACCTACGCAAGACCGGAGGGTAAACAATATAACTTAACCAGGTTCTTCACAATCAATACGGTGCTACAGTAACCTATTTAAAACTGAGCTCGTTATTTACATTAAATCGATCAATAAACAATGCACTATCGTTGGAAATTATTGGAAGTTATTTGCATTATATTACAATACACTTTTATATCATATATATTCACACTTAGAAAATTACCACATCTCTTTTATAAAAGAGAGTCGTGTTAGTTACACCTTTTATAACACGAGAACGGCTGGACTGATACGAGGGTCAAACTGAAAGTTCTTAGAAAATCAAAAACTGATTACATTTTTTATTGTATCTATATTTTTTATACACATGTTTTATTATATCTTTTCAAAATATTGTCCATTCACGTCAATACACCGCTGCATGCGATGGAACCACTGGGAAAAGCACTTTGCCCACTCGTCCTTAGGGGTCTCTTCAATGGCATCGCGATACGCAGCCACCGCTTCTTCAGCATTCATAAACCGCTTTCCTTTAAGTTTTTCTTTAATTTTTGGAAATAAATAAAAATCACAAGGCGCGAGGTCGGGGCTATACGGCGGGTGACCCAGTAATTCAACGTTTGATGTCGCCAAATAGTCGATCGTTCGCTTGGCGGTGTGCGACGAGGCGTTGTCGTGGTGAAGGAGGATCCTACTGCGAGGTCGTTTCTCTCGAACTTTTTCCAAGACAAGTGGCAAACAATTGGTAGTGTACCATTCTGCAGAAACTGTTTTTTGATCCTCTAACACAATTGTTGCAAAATGACCTATCCTTCCAAAGAACGAGGCCACCATTTTTTTTCCCGCACTTCGATCTCTCTTCACTTTAGTTGGCAACTCCTCGAAAGGAAACACCCACTGAGCAGATTGTCTTTTGGTTTTAGGATCATAACAGTAAATCCAGCTTTCGTCACCTGTTAGTATGTCGAACACAGCATTTGAGTCACCTCCGTTAAATCTTTCAATCATTTTACGACACCAATCCACACGATGGAGTTTTTGAGCCTCAGTCAAATTATGAGGTATCCACCGGGCGCAAAGCTTCCTGACCGCTAAATGTTCGTGGAGGATTTTGTGCACTTGACTCATACCGATGCCTAAGCTTGTCCGAATCTGTTGATAGGTCACTCTTTTGTCAGTCTCTATCATACGCCGCACAACACAGATGTTATCTTCAGTCGTCGCCGTAGAAGGCCGTCCCTCACGTAAATCATCAGTGAGATTAGTGCGACCACGTTTAAACTCATTAAACCAGTTGTAAACAGTCGCACGAGATGGGGCTTCATCGTGAAAGGCCAATCGTAGTCTATCATAACTTTCTTGTTGACTTAAATGACATCGAAAGTCATAAAAAATCATTGCACGAAAATTTTCTCGTGTTAAATTCATGATGACGTGACACAGACAATTTTCAATTTGCCGCCAAATCGTAAAACAAATGACAAATGAATGAAATATATACTCAGTAATATTGGCAAAGAGTTATATTTTCAAATTTTAGAATTATTTTTTTATTATATTGTTTATAAGTGGCCAGTTCTAAGAACTTTCAGTTTGACCCTCGTATTTATGATTTTGTGGTATTAGATTTATCTTCGTTGAGAATAGGATAAAAAGTATTAAAATGTTAAATATTATCAATAAAAATAATAAAAACTATGAAAGACTCAAAAATTTGTTATAATAAAATTCGATTGATAGATCACGCGATGTTGTCTATGTTATTGGTTCATTTCAAATTGTTTAAATATGCTCATTCATAGAAGTTTATATATTTTAAAATTCAAATTTCTCGGGCGGAATAGAGTTTACCGGGACCGCTAGTTCTTTTTAATTGTAGTAGCCAAGTCGAGCAAAAAAGTAAAAACGCACGCTTTCTTTTTTCGGGGCCATTCGGACCATTTTTGACCCCCTGTAACTTCGTCATGGAGTAAACTAAAAGCCTTAATTTTTAGTGACCAAGAGTACTTCAAGAATTATTGCAATTCAAAATACCATTATTTTGTCACTGACTGACTCGTAGATCATCAAAATTCTAGGAGATCCAAGGGGCTCCAAATTTTGAACACTGTTATAAATATGCATACAAAGTAAGACAAAATCTATCTAACATTACAAAATATTTGTCCCGTTTTATTTATAACTGTACAGGATTTCGAAAACACCCTTCAATGTGTTGCTTAGTAATATGAACCAAAGAGGGTTTTACAAATATTTACCAAAGAGTAAACAAAATATACATATTTAAAATCTATGATAAGGAAACTATTATCATAGGAAAAGTGTTGGAAAAGCGATTTAGTACAGGGCACATACCGTCGTGTATCTCGGCGCGGTCCTCGTACTTGAGCGCCTGCACGAGCTGCAGCAGGTACAGCAGCAGGTCTTCGTCCGGCGCCTGCTTCAGCCGGGATATGGCGTACCTAAGGCGGTACGTACACATATACACTCATAAATAAATAAAAATAAAAAAAAGCCTTTTTATTGATTCTCATACAAATTTCAGTTTCATAGGATTAAACAAATAGGATTTTATTTCATTATTCAATACAAATACATTATTAATATGTCATTTATAATAATATTTGAAAATAAAGTTATGTATATCATTAAATTAAATTTGCTTGAATTTCATAATTATTCCCTATCCAATTTTGATCATTATTCATTGATATTTTTATTATTGAGAATCCCTAATAAGGGTAAAGGCCTCCTCCATCCCTGACCACTCCTTTCTGTCCTTCGCCCTGATGTACCACCGAGTTCCTGCCTGCGCCGATATGTCATCGGCCCAATGTTTGTAAGGTCTACCTCGTTTTCGTTTTCCTTTTGGGCCCTCCCACAATGTTACGGTTTTTGTCCAACGGTCGTCCTCTAATCTTGCACATACACTCATACACTCGCCTAAACATCGCCACTTCCGAGCCATACAAAATGACATATACAATAACTCGTCGATCCTCATCGACTGCGCCGAAAGAAGTAGAAGATACGAATTTTATAATTGTCTCGGTTCGGATTTTTCCGGTATCTGATGATATAATGAAACGCATCGAAGGAGGCCACGAAAAGAATTTTACAATTATCAGCACAAATGAAACATCGCGCACACGTCCGCTTCGATTTGACCAATTCTAATGACTGGTAATGCCAAGTGTACAGAAGATTAGTTGCGTCCGCCTCTTTCGGCTCTGATAGATATGCGATCACCATTAGCCTGCATTTAAAGCTGGATCAATGAGCACATTCATAATTGTTATGACATGTTTAGGCAGCCTAATATTAATTGATTGCCGTAACATTTACTTCCTGACTGCTGGGTGTGTGAACTTGGGCGTGAGCAGTTCGAGGGCGTCCTCCACGTCCATAGGCGTCCACTGCTTCATCATAGCGAGCGCCTGCCGCACCTCGCCTGTTAGATAAAGAGGAAAGGTTTGATTGTTTGTTTGTTTACAACGAATAGGCTCCGAAACTTCTGGACTGATTTTAAAAATTCTTTCACCTGCGAGTAGCTACATCATATACGGTTGATATAGGCTAAATTTTATTCAGAAAAACTGCAAATAAAGGTATTAAATTGGGAATGGAAGTTCGAATAAGGAATTAAAACGTTACCATAGTAACCATTGTTTAATAATCATATCCGTGTCACGATTTGATCAATTATAACATTATTTAAACTGTTTACACGGGAGTTCCCTAAGAATCATGCGAGTGAAGCGGACGGAATTCTATTACAATATGCGTTTTAAGAAAATAGATTTTGTACTGACTCATTAAGGCTTCAATGAATTGAAAAACGTCATTTTGGACAACCCATGTGATTATTAATACTCACTTATATAGGGCGCACAAAAAATTATGAAATTGAAGAATTAACTATGTTTTTAAAACTGGATATTTTCCTGTGTACATACCATAATATAATAAACAGTACGTTTTTATGAATTTTCAGAGTTCTCAATTTGAAAAATACTACAACCTAGTTCGTATTTAAATATTTTTTAAAAGAAATGTAATTTTTTAGTACTGTGTAAATATAAAAACATGCTCTTAAAAATGTTGTTCAAAACTTTTATGGTCATAAACTAGCTGTTTTCCTACTATCTATCTATCTATTATAATCTATGTCATCCGCGTATGATATAAGTGTCCGTAGGTGAAAGAATTTATCAAGTCGATCCCGTAGTTTCGGAACCTATTCGATGCAAATAAACAAATAGAAAGTTGTCTCGTGTAATCCCCTAAACCATTATGAATTCTAACATCAACTTTAAAAAGCACTAATAAAAAAATTATAAACACTATTTTTTCAATGTCTCTCCCAACATTAAATGTCGGGCTAGATTAGAGAATATTCCAGTTATTATTCACACATATACTATAAGTTTAAGATATATACGCGTGTTACTGTGTCGAAAGTTACCGTATTACTATAAAACTGGGACGCACTGTCCGTCTGCGTGTTTCACAATTAATGCACCAAACGCACCGACCGGTTTTGATGTGATCTAAGAATTTGGACGTAACAAGTACGAGTTATACGTTATCGCGTTACATTCATGACAATTTTATTGAATCTGTCACAGGTTCATTGCTATTTACTTTGAGTAGTTAGTACTATAACTAAAGAAAATTCTGTTGAAATCGGGTTTCACTTCAGCGGTTTCAAAAACACAATACAATATCTCCGAAACTATTAATCGCAGACACGCTGGTACTTCTACAATATTTCTCAGATATAAATGGAATATTTATTAATAAAATAAAAAAGTTGTACACTAGCCTATTCTCTAAGTTCTGATACCGGGAGCCACAAAATGACCGACAAAGCCGAAATTTCAAGTCAGGTTACATGCAAACATCATTTTATTTGAAAAATATTTCAAAATGGGTGTAAAAATGGAGTAAAAATTTTTTAAATTCTGTGTTGAGAGTCCTATAACGCGCATGCGCAATATCGATTGTGCGCAGATAACAATGGATCTTGATGATAGTCGATGCTGAAAATGTCCATTTCCTCTCTGAAGACTGAGTTAATATCACGCATTTTATAATGTTCTTTTTAAATGCAATTACCTAAATACTATTTTAATAAGAAATTCCTCAATGTTTTTAAAACAAAGTACATTTGTGTTAGTGATGAATCGCTGAAATATTTGTGAGTTTATCGAGTTTAATTAACGATCCCGTTGTTAAAGGAGTATTACCCCATTCAAACAATTTTTTTGGAGAACTGCTCTTTTATAATAATGTAGGTTGATGTTACACTGATCTCTCTACAATAATTTAGGAAATTTTACACTCGGTTTTTGAATTGAGAATTTAAAGTTAAATGTCTCAAACTAACATCACTTAGTTTTCGTTTCTGATTTTAGTTTTTTGATGATCAGTTGATAGCAGTTTGATAAAACTAGGACTATTTGACTTATGAAATTAAAAAAACCTAGGTTATTGAGAATAAGCAGTAGAGATTTTCCACTTTTTTCAAATCAGAAACCGGCTGTCAGTCTGTAAATCAATTTAAGCATTTTGACTGCTTTGTTTATTGATTGTCTGGTATTATTTGCATGAAAGCGGTCTTATAAATCACAAACTAGTTTATTTCGTTTTTTGAAATGAAGAAGTTAATGACCGTTTAAAAACTTTTCCTTAGTACGTCCCAAAAACAGCTGACTCAGGGTTGAAAACATTAACTTTTTCCAAAAACTTTGAAATTTAATATGTCCGAAACTATTTGACCTAGGCATATAATTTTTTTACATCATATTAAAGACAAATAGTACTCTCCAGGAACCTCGGGAGTGTCGGTCGTTCTGTTCCACCAGGTATAAGAGGGGCGTGACGTCATGAGCTGTTTGCGGTCACGTAACATTTTTTTTTAAATAATTAATTTAAGCAATATTATAAATATAATAAGCATAAAAGTGTGATTATCGATAATAGTATATTTAATATACTAGTACTACCAGAAAAACAATAATATAATTATTTTTGTTTACTGTCTACATCCGTATTCTTTCTTTCTTCTTTCTAAGTCACGTGACATATTACTACCGACCTTATGTTCATGTAGACGCATATAAATCCAAGTGAGTAAATCCAAAAAAACTTGAGCAAACGGTCCGGGGCTACCGTGACAAGATAAGAAAATGCTGCCTAATGACTAAAAGCTTAAGAACCACTGGCTTAAAACATCCAAAACGACTTACCCGGTCTGTTCCAGTTGACGCATTCTAAGAATTTTGTGAGAGCACGTTTGTGTGACGACAAGTAGAATCTGTGGAAACAATAAATAACTTTAACGTGGAATATATTAATATATGTAACGTAAGAAATATTACACGTATTTGAGTGAGGATACGTACTTTTAGTTAGTAAGATAAGAGAAGGAAGATCGGGGTACTCTTTCTGTTTCTCTATACGCACGCAACAGAATTGCTAACAGTACTCTAATATGGAGTATTGTACTCTATACCATGTAGGCGTACTTTAATATAATCTATAAAACTAATAGAGGACGCTAAAATTTTATGGAGACCTGGTGATTTGTAATACAGGCTAATCCCATTTCAAAGATCAGCTCTTCACATCATTAATAGTAAGAATACTTGTATATGTAACCATTGCATTGTTAGTTTCTGAGAAGAATAAACAGTTTAATTATATATATATATATATATATAAAGAAAGTTGCCAAACATAGGTTTTGTTGATACCGATCAACGAATCGTTTTGCTATACTCCCTTTATGAGCTTACTACGCATGCGCGAGTAGACACATGTAAGGTACAGCAATCTGTTCCCTCTATCTAAGCAAGGGACAGCTAGATGCTAACTTTCCTGCTTTATTTATAAAGGTGATCCCACATCTATCAGATTTAAACTCGCCGAAGGAGGCGGAAGAATAAACTTTAGGATTCTTTGTATACAAACACATGAAACATGACATACATGTATACACTGAATCGCCAGAATTCTAATGCCACCATGATGTAAAGAAAAGTTTCATTCGTCTCTTTCTATTCTGGATATATATGCGATCACTATTATATTACAGTTTCGTCGTTTACTGTCGATAGACATCACTAGAGTTCATTTACGGAAGTGAGCGATGTTCTGCATTAATACAAAATATTTGCTTCATCAGTTCTCAATATCATAACTTTGTTAATATATGCATAACTCTCCCACACGCATGAATGGGCAAATTCATCTCCAAAGTCAGCTATTATCTGATACCCGTGAATGGGTCATAATGGAATTCCATACTATTGTGTTTAAGCCCCCTTGTACATTATGATACTCGCAATTGAGGATACAGTCGCGTACCTACAGAAAACTTATTGGCCACTGGATTCGTATTACATGAAAAACATTATTTGCTTTTGTAGTGTACATTATTTGAACGTTCAAGTTTAATATTAAACATCTGTACAGCTGTCATTTTGTTGAAATGTAAGACATTTCTCGGCTACTCGACTAGGTGGCGTAGTGGATAAGCGCGGCGGCCCGCAATAGCTGTTGTTAAGCTACTTTCGCAAGGGTCGGTCACGGGATGGGTGACCAAAAAATCATTATCTGGAGCTACTCCGTGCCTCGAAAGGCACGATAAGCCGTCGGTCCCGGTTGCATATGCAATGGTTAATACAGTAAAATCCCCATTGGGCCATCGTGGTGGGTCATGCCCATCCTCCTTAACCATCCATAAGGAAGGCATGAGCCTCTGCAGTGGGGACGTTAATGCGCTGATGATGACGATGATATATATATAGTATAGTGTAGTAAACCTGAATTTCCACAGCAGGTCTTGTTCGGCGGCGGTGAGGGGTTTGGCGGGCGGGGAGGCCACTATGGCGGCGAGCTGGTCGCGCTCGCTAGCCGTGGGCTTGGCATCCCTCCCACACACTCCCGACCGGAGTGAGCGAGCGAGACGATGCTGCTTACTCTCCACTAAATTCTCCTGTCAATTTTTTTAAAGATTTAATTCTTATAAAATAAAAATTGTAAACTATGGTTGGATATACATGGTGTTCTTTTTTTATATGAAGTAAGTTTAGTAAATCGATTAACGACACTGTCGTGGCATATTATTTGGACTTTATTGAAGTACCTCAGGGTTCACATCTGGGACCTTTTTTAATATGCAAAAATTTTATGCATGTAAACGACAAAAAGTCCTTATTATTATTGATTGACATTTTGAAAATCGACATAGATGGTTAAGATTATACATCTGGATTGTTTTCTTAAACTTCTCAAAATCAAAGAGAACATTTTATACCCTAATTAATGAAGGTTAGGCTTAAACTCAACTCATACTATTATTGTATTTTGAGCTTAGATTAATTTATACCTGTAATATTTCATAGTCAGGTACTGTGACTATGTCAGCTTGTACTTTGAATTGGTACATCTCATCGCCATCTTGCTCATAGTACACAACAGCGTGCTACAACAAATGTGACAATTACAATGGTGGCAACACAAACTCATTTCATCGACATTAATCGAGAGTCCATGGAAGAAAATGCGTTATCTGGGGCTGCAGTCTCGTCAGAATTTGCGATCGCAATCTTACCAAATTCATCGTTAACTCATAGCGATCGAAAGTTAACGATTTTTGCAAGTCTCTTCAGTTAGGAATTGTCAAATTAGCGATTGAATTTGACAACTCGGTCAATGAACTCTACGATCGTTACTTAACGATCGCTACCTGTGTCGAGACCATATACTCTGAACTATACTGTACGTCAGCGATTCCCGAAAAGTGTTCTGCAAAACGTTAGGGATCCATAGAAGGTTCACAGGGGCTCCTCGTTCACTCCGAGAGTTATATAAAACATTCACAGAAAAGACTAATTTAATTAAAACGTTATGCTTATATGTATATTATTTTTCATTAATAATTTGCTCCTTCTTTAATATTCTCACATGCACATGTAGTCAATATTTAAACTAGTTATTAAGAGCGTCGGCAAAAAAAAATAGCGTCAATTAGGATTCCGAGACCAAAAGAGTCGGACAGAACAAGATTGGAAATTAATCACTACGAAAGTAGATATAACTGTAATATTTAGTTGCCTTCAAGCTTTTGCTTGCTCTTGTCCTAATATAATTTATGTACGGCGCAATGTCAACATTATCTCCTTTCTTACCCTTAACAAAGAAGCTGTAAGAAATGTCGCAAACGGCATCAATTACCATAACTCCTGTGCACCCCTACATTAAGCAATCTCAGTCAGGATTTATATATTATTGTTTCACAGCTATTCTGATGGACATTGACAAGGTTGCCTCATTCTACTGAATATGAAATTGTTTTGGCAATAAAATCAGTGTGCGTTTACACTGTACGGAGGTTCTTCTGCCAATCGAGCGCGTCCGGGCGCGCGTCGCAAATATGAATCATATTGTCAAGGTAACAACATTAGTAATAGAATGGTATGGTAGGGGTGTAACAGTACGATAATTGTATCTAATATACTTACATTGATGCCGTCTATTTGTACAGTTGGAAATTCCACCATCAGATACATGTAATCTGAGCTCCGTTTCTCTTTTTCGTTGATCATCTCTATCTCCCTGAAGGTGAGCCTGTCTAACCAGTCCACCTGAAGCAGTAGCAGTAGTGTTTAAAATAGCTAAACGTGCAAAAACTTTTGCCAAAATTGACTGATATACTCGTATGCAGTGGTGAAGTATCCCATTCCTTTTTTATTATAATATATATTCACTTCAATCATCACTGCATGTGAAGCTACTAATACGCGACTTGCTATTATCGGCCAAGGGCTTCGCCCGCGTGGTCACTTGGGTCACTTTTATATTATGACACGGATATAATTAAAATGACAAATTGAATAATAAACAATAATTACTATAGTAAAGTTTTATTTATAACTTATTGAAACCTGCGCTCCTATTTTCATCCCTTTATTTGCTCTTTTTCGGAATAAATATAGATAGCCTATGTTCACCGCAAACATACATATCAACAATGAATCTATAAAATTTTTCCTCTTTATAATAAATTAGTATAAATATAGATAAATCAGTAGTTTGACGATGGAGAGTGAATTTGATGCGTAAGAGCTGTAATTTGTACGCTGTACTATCCATTCGCTTCAGGATGAATGAACTAAACTCTTATTTTTCAATAATAAACTATATAGGTGTGTAAATATAATGTACTCGTATCTTACATGGTATAAAACATATATACGTTTTTAGTTAAATTCATTAATAGAATTGATTTTGTTTACTTCTCTCGTATCGTAGCCACTTCATCTCGCAAGAATAAAAAAAAAAATTAAGTTGATATCAAATGTGATTGTTTAAAGTAGTGTGTAAATTAATGAATCATCACCTTAGGCATATGTCCGTTACGGTGTTTCTTTGCGAGCTTGGCCAACCTCTGCATTTGTTCCTTGCCTCTGTCGGGGGCTTTGCCGGGCGTTTTCTCACTGCCCTCCACTCCCGGCCACACTCGCAAGTCAAACATACCCTTTTTGGCAACAAAGCGAAACTTTTTTAATTTTCGTAACAGCGAAATGTAAAACTTTTGGCACAACGTGGAGGATGTGTTTCCCATTTTTTAAATATAGAACCTCCTCACGATTTAACTATAGAACTCTTTTCTTCGAAACTTTTAGCTGCATGTCCGATAGTTTTTCTTTTAATTGGTGCTTGCTTATGTATGCATTCGTTTGAGTTTCGGCGTGGACTGATTGGAATAGTGGCAAATTCCAGAAAACGTAAATAGCGTACGATGATAAGTTGTATCTTAAAGGACATTAGCACATGCAGTAATATTAATGTATTGACTATTTAAAATAATTATTTCAATTGTTAAGATACTTTGATATCATTATCTGTAAAACTGGTGGCGTATAAAAAATATTAATTGGTGTCCGAATATAATAAAGAAATAAATAGGTTGATATTGTTACAACTGCGTACACATTGTGTAATTAATCTAGAAATATGATATAGACTGTTTATATAAGATACCATTCGTGAAATGTAAATCTTTTATTTTAATTAAGATTTTTGTTGAAAACTTATGTGATGTATAAAATAAAATAAAACAATTTCATAATTAGAACAATAATAAAATTAATGTCACTAACTATTCGAAGTCTATTGTTTAGTTAGGACTACCTTAAGCAGGGCAGGAAAAATTGGACAGTGATCTAAAGTACAATGTGATCGTTGAAAGTAAACAATACCCATAGAACTCTATATTGTTCCAATGGTTGAGCTATGAATGAATTGAATATTAAACATTTATAAAAACTGTGTTCACTTAATTTGGCATCAAGTTAAAAATTAGGTTCTTTGCAGATCTTGAACCTTTTCATAATTTATTGCTATGTACCTATAGGGCCACCTTTTTATTGATGCTGTGTAACGTGTATTGTTATAATTAATCAGTTTCGCTAGATTTAGTTCTAATAGAAGGCGACTTACATACAAAATATAAATATGTTCATAAATTTTATCCTTAATACTTACTATTTCACATAAAAATTACTATTTTAATTGTAGAAAGGACATTTGACAGAGGATATTTGCTTTTTATAATTAATTTGGTTTCATTCTCAAAATTACATTTTAACAGACAATTTTAATGCTGTTTGATGTCAGTATGTGGCTGACAAATCATCAATTTAAGTACAAACTTTAATTTACTTAGTAATTCAAAATAGCTTAATGACTACACAATAACATCAAGGTCAGTACCATATGTATTCTATGAGACTTCACAATCAATTGTCATCTCAACATTCACCTTGTAACCATATGTCTTTCACATAATCTACCCATATTCTATTCCATTTTCCTTTCTTACATTTCAGTCCGCAATCATACTGATATTATACTACAAATAGGTATTTTAAAACTGTCTTTGTCAATTTACTACTATCATATACTATTAATAGGTTTCATATCATACCTGTCTCAGCATACCGTGTTTGCCGAAAAGTGATATGGTTGTACCACCAACCACCATGACCTTTCCAGGACCAGCACAGTCATATATTGTCATAGCTAAAGTTGCATTTCTTGGAAGATCACTGAAGAACACTGGTAGAGTCAACCATTCATTCCAGCTATATAAAAATTTAAGAGCTAATGAAGATTACTGTATTTTATTTTTTTATGAAATAGTGTCAGTAGAGTAGTGTTAGTGTTGGATTATATTATTCGATAGAATTTTTTATTGCAGTCATGTGGTAATACAGAAACTTTACTCAAATACAGAACCACAACATGAGCTCTGTCAGGGCACAGCAATAACCAAACAGTTGATATTAATACATTTATCTAAAATAAATTAAATAACCATTATAATACAAACAATTAAAATCACAAATATCAAAAATAAAATAGCAAAAAATAAGTAATACTGAAATTATGAATAATAAAAAAAGAAAAATATATGACAACTTTAATGAAAATAATAACACAAATCTCTATTTTATTACTATATTTCATATGAAATTGAAAAGGGTTGATAGAACCTGATGTGTGGTTGACTGTATAATCAAAAAATAAAAGTACTTGCAGAAAAAGGTCAAATTTATATTGATTGAATTAAAATAAACAATAACTTAACTTAAAAATAACTTAAATTTCCTTGGTCCTCTATACCAGTTATATACTAATTTTCATGGATGATTAATACATTTGCTTCAAGTAATGCTAGGCTGTAGGCTATAAAAAATTTAGCTATCTCTACCAACTACAGATACCAACTAAATACAGTAAAACCCTGATTTACCCGTCCCTATTTTACATGAATTTGGAGGTAATTGATGTTTCCTTTTGAATTCCATGTTCAAACATGTTATGTGTGGAATTGTTTTACGAACGCAATACACATTGCTTAATCCTAAGAAGAAATGAAAAACACTGTCTTTTGAGATTAAACTAAATATTATTCAAGATTTTCAAGACCCAACAATTAACAAGTTAATAGAAATGAGTGAGCATGATTAAGACATTCAACTAACTGACCCGTTCATTAGACCCTGTTGAACTGGAAAATCAAATTACGACTTCAAATTTAATAGTAGGCCTCAGTACAATTGAAAATTTTATTAGAAATAGATTCCGATGAAGAGCATGTGTCTACTACAAAACAGGAAATAAAAAAGTTACTGGCATGCTACAAGGAAATTTTAAATGAGAAGAAGAAAACCTTAACTGGTCTGGCAACATTGTAACTAAATATTAAGCCTCAACATTAACGTAAATTGTTATCATTTTCTAACATTTTATTAAACATGTTTCTTAAAAAATAACTGTTTTTGAGACTAGTCCCATTTATACAAAATTTATATGCAGTTGAACCCTGACTTATACAAATTCAACTTACGCAGGAATCTCATGATCCCACCTATCGTGCAAGTCTCGGGTATTGTTGTACTATATTTCAGTTTTTGTTAATCGTTTCTGGTCTATGGACTTTAACTACTGTTAAATAATTTTAATAAAACCATGTCAACCTTCTAGACTAGTAAGAGCAGCTTTAGACATGCTCCTTGTGTGAAATAGCTGCCTATAGATCTCTAAATATATTAGTAACTCATTATGATTAGTCTTTCTTATGCCATGAAAAAGATGTTTTTATGTCTTTATTTATAAAGAAACTATCTTACTTCCATCTATTAGTGAAGGCTTTGTATGACGTAGTAACTGGAAGAGCAAGAGGCACCCCATCACTGAGCACCTGGCATGTCACATACAAGTCTGAACAACCTTCCTGATACAGGCCAGAGAATTTAAGCATTGGGTCCGATAATAACTTGTCATATTCAGGTTTAGTGCGTTTACCCTCTAATGTACCACTGCAAAATAAAGATCAGATTATTAGACTGTTTACAAAATAAAGATTGCTTTTTTATGGATATTCGTTATTCGTCGTTGATACACAAATATCTTCTTCTTTAATGTTTGTAATGTCACGAATCAACTTTCATCAACACAAAAAAGGGATGAAGTAATAAAGAAAATTTTATACATAAAAAGTATCAAAAACAAAAGCTGTTTGAGGTTTTGGATACTCACATTTTAATTTCCACTTTGTGATCCAAAGAAGAACTATAAACATAATAAAATTTGTCGTCGATTTCGTTCATAATATCTATCTAATATTAAACTTTCTTTTAACAAAAACTTGTCAACACAACAACACCATACACACCGTTTGAACCACAGACTTAGTAGGTATCAGACGACCAACTTCCTAACAAAAAATTTCTTCGTAGAACGTGATTGGGAGCCAGTGATACATGACAGCTTCATTCGTTTTAAATATAGAGATTTACTATCGGCAAAGGCATTTAGCTATACAGCCCTGTTTTGGGTAGGTACCTAGCCGTCTTCCTAGTTTCCACATTATTTTTACTTTAATTTAAATTCCTTTTTTGTTTTAATACAACAATAACAATAAAGCAGACTGATAAGTCTAGCTTATTATTATTGTTGTATTAAAACAAAAAAGGAAAAACGAATACGTAAATGAAACACACATTTTTCCAATATGAATAATTTATTTTTAACTTATTATATTTTTACAGATTTCTTTTGCATTCTCGTCAATTCTTAGCTACGTTTTTTTAGTGGCACAATCTTATGAAATTTTTCAAGGTAATCACATTTTTTTTAAAGAGGGCACTGATATTTGCATACCTTTTTATACCTACACATATTTAAGTTTTTCTAAATTTTCAATTGCCTTTGGCCAGAAAGAATGATGCTCTTTTCCTTTATGCTTCTTTTGTTTATCGATGCTCCATTGACACTATCAAATAATTGATCAAAGAATGAAACAACTTCAGCTGTATTTCTTAATGTTGTGCTGACGGGCCTGCCATCCACCTAAGTTGCTGCAAATTAAAATATTCATATAATAATTGTATGAAACTTGATTCAAAACTATTAATTGTTAGTAAAATTCATCTAATACTCACAGAAATTTGCAGTGTAAGACAAAGCTGCAGACATATTTTTACACAATTTTTTACCTGCAAAAAGAGATATCATATTTAAAATTATCTTCATTAGAGGATCATTATTGTAATTTAAGTGTAAACTATATTAACTACTTGTTACATAATTACAAATACGATCATTGAATCAACACTTGCTCTGATAGAGAATATAGAAGCTGAATGCAAATTATTTCTTTTATTTATACTAATTTAAGTTATACTAATATAATAACCAATGCATTACCTTCATCATTTTAATTTTATCAGGTATAACTCATTGGTCATTTAATTTATGACGTAGCCCAGCTTCAGTGTGTTGACAGTCTGTCTCATAGACATAAATAATATCATGCCATTTTGCAAGTTTACTATCCAATATTAATTTTTTTGTTAAAAAATTGTTACTGATACATTTTATCAAGTGTGTAGAATCATAATATTCAAATCCACCCCACATATTTTAAGAATGCCAACTGAAACAAAAATTTAAGAACTTCTTAAAACATAGATAACAATAAAAAAATAAGAACCTTCACTACTTTCATTAAATCTATTAGTTTTCTTTCATATAAATATAATTCTCTGTACCAACCTGTGATTTCAATTTAAAATTTGATCACACTAAGTGTCTTCTTTTAGATTTTTGAGTGCTGATTGGAAATCCGAGCGTTGGTCATATATTATTGCGATGGGATCAAGGTCCAATTCAACAACTTTTTCTAGTACTAACTTTAAAATATTCTTGATGTACAATAGATGTCGCTCCTTGACAGAAATACTAACATAAAGGCTGTTGCCACTTGTAAACAGCACCAACATAAATACAAAAGTATGATCTGCAAAATCCACTTTCTTTTCTTGGTGTTCTACAAATCCATTAATGTTATCTTTAACCCTTATTACTTTTATTATACGAAAGTGCTGTTTCTAATGACATCTCATCAAATATAATGGAGCATATTTTTTTGGAGTTTCATTTGGCCACCTGAAAAAGTAAATTCAAATAGGTAGGTACATATTATTATTTGATAGTAATACAAAAAATTATAAAAGTAGTATGAAAAACCTTATATGGAATATATTTACCTCTTACATGAAGCCTGGTTCTATGATCAATTTTCTAATCATAGTATTCAGTGTAGTTTTGGATGATAAAATAATAATTTTGCTAAAAAAATCAATAACACTTTGGACTCTGCTTTGATATTGATAAAGCAAATATCTTTTCTTTGGTAGTGAATCACCTCTCATGTTTATTTTTAGAGCACAGGCTCACTTGCATTTCAAAATGTGTTCATTTTTTCTCGGAACTTTTCAAATGATAACTTTTTACAAAACTTAAAGGTATTTAAGTATTCTTAACTTTATTATGAAAGTTCAACTATGTCTTTGGCTTGTTATATTCTTCATAAATTCTCTGGTGTAAAGGTGCAATTGGCTTTTTTTGGTAATAAGCCTTTTCCTTTTTGTTTGGGTACATTTCACAGGGTCTGTAACATCAAAGGTATTCAGTGAATTTCTCTATTAGAACTACTATTTGATTGAAATAAAGATACACTAAAGAAAGAGACAGGTCTTACCAGATAATTTAGTTTGTGACATATTTTAATCTCCAGAGCAAGCAGCTAATTGAGTAAACTCAGTGGCTGCAGACACAGGAGTCTCAATTTGTCCTTTTAAAATTACACCACCTATGAAATCAATATTGATTTTGTGTGTAAGATTAAAAAACAGGATATAATCTTAGATGATATTAGAAATATGTTATTTATATTATCAATTTATTCTCTGATCAAAATCATTTCTAGCGTGCCCGCTGGAGTTAAGTAACTTAATGTAATTTTTCTTTATGTGTGTAAGAAAGAGAGATCTACTTGACTTTTTTAAAGCAAAAATCTATATTAAAATATACCAAAAGTGCAGCATGAACTTTGTTATCTAAATAAAATAAATTAAAAACAAACCTCTGTTCAGTTCCACTTTCTAATATGTGTGGTCAACATGACTTTCTTGCATAGCTGTGTTACCAAGTGAATATAATTTCTGTAATAAAAAAAAATCTAATGAAGAATAGCGGTATTCCAAAACACAACATAAAGTGAAGATACATATCATTTTAATTAGCATTATCTAAAGGTAATAGCAGATTAAACCAGCCTTACCAGTATTGCTTGAATAGGGTAGGCTGATTGAGAGCCCATCATCAATAAACAATGACGGATATGCATCACCCAAGAGTCATGATTTTGGAGTGATGAATCTTGGTACAACGTGTTTGCTACAAATGACACTTCTGCCTGGATTAAAATTTTCAGTATCACACACAGCACTAAGACATTGTAACCACTTGGAGAATCTTTTCTCGTTCACTAGAATCTTATTAAGAATAGCGTCCTGTTCGTACTTTAACAATGCGTGTAACACAACCATAACACAACACACCAATTTCTTAGGCATCTTCTACAAATAAAAATACTTGGAAAAATGGAGAGTTTTTATTACAAATAAAGCGAAGACGGTAAGCACAAAAGAAACTACTCAATCACTTGTAATTCCCTGATATGTAGGTACATACTTAAGTCTTCTTCTTTTATTAATGGCATATCTGCGCATTTCACACAATTTTGCCAATGTGAAATGAATAAATTAATTCCAACATGTAAAATGAATTAAAGATTGATTAAAACATTACTATCTTTACTCTTTGTTGTAATGACAGTTTCTGTCAGGTGTCATGTCTCTATCTACTGACAGGGGTGAGGGGCGTGAGGAAATGTCATACATCACTGGACCCTACGGGATTGGTTTATTGTACGGAGTTGACGGGCCGTGGTTTGAACCTAGGGATGTTATCAGGAAACCGATACATATCGATATCGAAAAATCCGCGATATCGAAATCATCAATCGACATCGAATGAAATTCAATCAGTCCAAATTTTATCATCCAACAGCATCTTCACATGTGATATTATATTAGTAACACAGGTATGTGATATAATTAAGTAACCCTGATTTTTTATTTTGAAATTGTAGTAATTTTTTATTATTATAATCTGTACTAGATTTTGAAATAAAATGTTATTCCCCCAACCAAATATTAACGTGACTTTTTGGCAATAAGAGCCTGAAAACAGTTTTGTGGTTCAGAAAATATTAATGTTTTATATAGGTTGTGAGATTCCTTATATAAAACAGTTACCAAAATAGCGATATTTTTTTCAGTAAAAATGAAGGAAACTGGAAATTAAATACTATTTTAAATTTTGGTAACAACACAGCAGCACCAATATGACCGTTGATGGAGAGCCTAGAGGCGTCCGTGTACATAGTAAAACTGCTAGAAATCGCTGCAATAGGATGGTAAGGACAACTAAACGCCAATATATTCATAATAACATTATAAATTTCAATCTTGCCGATGCATTGAAGTTTCTTTGTTCGTTGGACTTTGGTAAAACGGTTCCTCATTATAGTTCCTTATGTTCGTCGGATGAACTAAACAAACATTTCAGCTGGAACCCCGATCCCTCATCTTATCATCTCTATGCAGACAATCTTCAGATATATGCGCAAGCAGACAAAAGCAACATCAATGATGCTATTTTGAGCCTTAATCAAGATCTCAATACTATTTTGGAGTGGTCCAACTGTTACGGTGTGACTGTACATAGATCTAACAATAAGTGTCAAAGTATTGTTATTGGCAGTTCACGTCAGCAGGCAGCTATATATTGGAATTGCATTGCTCCTATATAATATAAAAGCGAAATTATTCCCTTTCAGTGTAGTGTAAAAAATCTGGGTCTACACATCGATTGTACTTTTAGCTGGGAGGTGCAGATTTGTGAAGTGTGCCGTAAAGTTGTCAATACGCTTAGGAGTCTTTATAGGCTGATTTTTTTCAATCAACGCAGAAACCTACGAATTGTCTGTATGCTTTTTTTATATTTTATTCGATTCATGTTCCCCAGGATATTTGAAATCTAGGTTTCTTTATCATGGTTCGGGTCATCAACGTAATCTTTACTCTAGTAGCAACCTCATTCGTTAAACCCCTTTTCGTCATACTTCATTTATTTCCAAATCCTTTACCCTCACAGCTATTCGTCTTTGGAATGCTCTTCCATTTCGCATTAGAAATGCTCAGAGTAAGATGATATTCAGGAAATTGGTGTGGGAGCACTAACTCGGACTGTAATTGTATTGTTCACATTGTGTAAGTTATTTATTGGTATGTATATTATGTAATTTAGTA